TTTGTTTTCAATTAGGAATGTTAATATAGAGGATAATAACCCTTAATCCTTAATTCAATGAAATGATTCTAGATTCCAATGTTTACTTTCTATGGAATCAAAATGTTTATTCAGTATCATTAGTTCAGTGCCATTTCTTGCAGCACATTTCTTAGTCTCCAGCTTTTAATTTTTTCAATATTAAGTTTAAAAATGCCTCTTAGTGCTGAGGATGTTGCACGTGGTGTGGCACTTATTGATGATGAACGTTCCATTAGATATGCAGCTAATGCCATCGGAGTTCCATATGAAACTTTACGAGACACTGTCAAGCATTTTCGGGAAACTGGTTCTTACAATAGAAGGCCCGGTTCTGGACGGCCTAGGGTAACAGAACCACGGGATGACCGGTTTTTGACTTTGAGAATTTTACGAAACAGGCACCTTACCATTGTTCAAGCGATTCATCAGCTCGAAGAAGTTCGAGGTGCGCAAATTTCTGAACGTACCGCTTGGAGAAGATTAAATGAGTATGGATTAATGGCTTTTTGTCCAGTAAGAGGACCATAGTTGACCAGAACTCACAGAGTAACACGGCTGGCTTTTGCTCAAGAACACAGCCATTGGACTATGGAAGAATGGAGTGCTGTACTTTTTATAGATGAGTCAAGATTCGCTCTTCGATCTCCAGACGGGCGTGAAAAGGTGTGGAGAAGAAGAAACGAAAAATATGTAGCCTGTAATTTTTCCCAGAGCCAACCTTTTCAACGTGGTTCCTTAATGCCTGTGGGCTGGGATTTCAGTGGAGCGCCGCACAGAATTGGTTGTTGTTCGTGGAGGGTCTTTGACGGCCATTAGCTATGTAGATGAGATTTTGGAACCTCATGTGTTGCCTGTCCTCAACCAAATCGGCGATCGTTCTATTCTAATGCACGATAATGCCGCCCACATTTCGCCCGCATAGTGCAGACGTTCCTTCAACAGAACAATATTGAGGTTTTGCCTGGCCAGCACGTTCTCCAGATTTGAACCCCATTGAGCATTTATGGGATAACCTCGGAAGACGAATAAGAGCAAGTAACAATTCCTTGAAAGGGCTCTTCAGGAGGAATGGGCTATCCTCCAGCAAAGGGACATTTCCCGACTGGAGGAAAGTATGTCGAGGCGTCTTCAAGAAGTAGTGAAGGCAAGAGGAGGAAACACGCGCTACTAAACGATGATGTAATTAATTTCTTTTAGAATAATAATGGTTCGTTTTTCAATTTTTTTTTCTCTAATGTTTCTTACCCAATCACATTTTGATTATTAAAGGTAAAAAGGATTATAAAATTCCATAAATACTAAGTATTATCTACAAATACTAAGTATTATCTACAAATACCATGTATTATATACAAATACAACTTTACAGAAATATTTTTGGATGAAAACATGGAAAAATCAAGCGGGTGGAATTTTTTGCCTGTCAGTGTATATTAGACCCATGTCTGAGGGTTCTTGTGAATTCACCCAAGCAGCCAAGGGGAAAAAAAATATAAAATTTTATTATGTTTTTATATTAATGTTTTCTGACTTTGCTCTGCGTGGATTTCTAAGTTATTATATACATCAACCAATTTGTTTTTTGTTTTTTTGTAAAATAAGAAAAACATATTGTTAATTGTATTAAACAAATTTTAATGTATAATAAATTACAGAAATCCAAAGACACTTCCAGTAAAGTAGGCTATGTAAATTTTTGTGACAAAAAAAAATTCGGATTAATTTTTAGTTTCCACTAAAATTCTTAAAAACGAGATTATTTTGAAAGAAAAAAATATAAATGTTTGGACTTAATTTTCTGGGAGGATTTTTTTCATGCTGTTTACTAAAATATTAATAAATTCTTATGATTTTCTTCTATGTTAACGTTATTACAATTGTTGGAAAACAAAATTATCGCTCTTCAAAACCATATGGATAATTTTTAGATTTTATGCCTTTATAAGTAATACATAAATAAAAACTCCCCAAACGTTTTTATTTTTAATCACCAGGTCTAATTTATTTGCACTAGTGAACCACAAATTCATGCTAATTTTCATGTGGATAAATGTTGATAATGTTGAAGTTATCACAACTTTCGTGATTTTCGAAAAAAATTGCCTTGGCAGAAATTTTGAGCAAAAAATTTTATTTTTCAATTGGTATGAAAGTTCACATTTATGAGTTTTTCAATGTGCAAAATACAAATCTCTACTTTGTTTTTCCTTAAAAAAATATTTTAACCCACTTTACTCCTTAGGTAAGTACTAATTGTTTCAATATTGTACTCATACCATAGCTGTACACCAAATATATATTTTTTCTCAACCGGATGGGTGTCAAAAATAAGATTACATGCCCAAAATTTTGTATATTGTCGAAATTCGATCTGGAAATAAGAATAAAGCATGAATTGTACATATTACAGCAGGAAATATATTTTTTTGGAATAAAAAAAGATGATATTCATTTTTCGCACCGCCTAAAAACCCTTAATTATGAATTTTCGTTGCAATCGAAAAATGTAAATATTTTGGTTTATTAATTAATTGCTCTTATAAGATCCAACTACATTTATAGCTTTTTATTAGATATTAATAAAGCAAAATTTTTCGATTGCAATAAAAATTTCCTCTATATATGTACTGTGTATATATATATTAAAGAATCCTAAAATTAAGGGTGTATAATGCTTTAATAAAGCCAGTTCTAATATGTGGCTGTAAGACCTGGACACTAACCAGCAACCTAGAAAAAAGTGTTGAAAGAAAAATCCTTCTCACCATAACCAAAGCAATCTGGGATCAGAGTACTAATACATTAGTTCAGTCAATGAATGGTAAAAAAGGGATTGTAGAGTGCATGGAGGATGGACAAGCAATTGACTTTGGGATTTGTTGAAGGCACTTAAGAGGTAACACATACCCCTTCCGCTGCATGGTGGGGAGGGCCTTAAAGGTCGCTTTTTCCATATTTTCTTTTATATCTCATATAGCCGTCGCAGACGAAACATTTTTGTATAGCAAATTAAAGCTGACAAAATTTCCTTTAAGAAAGTATATATTCATTACTAGTGTTCAAGATATTCACTAATTTAAATTGTCTATTTTTGAAAAATGTATTTTCCTTTTTGTCAGACTTTTCTTTCTAACACCACGGCTTTTCTTTTTAAAAGAAAATTGTCTGAAAGAAAGTTGTAGAATATAGTTTTTTCTTTAAATGTATATATCATTTATTAGTTTATCTTTTATGAGTTCAAAGTTACATCAATTTTAAATATTTTGATGAAGTTCGTCAATCCATATGAGAAAATATAATTTCTTTATTTTTGAGCATGAATGTCCATCTCCATTAATGTTACACATGAATGGATGGTGTGTAGTATATGTTAAGTAAATACATAAATAATATGTACATATATATATATATATATATATATATATATATATATATATATATATATAATATTATTTTAAAGAGCAACAATTCAACTTTTCAACGGTTGTAGTAACAATGATTAAGAGTAAAATCTCTCGTCCCAAAAGAATCTGGTCTACGAAATTTCTGTTTTAGTTCTTGTTTCATAGGAGTTATTAATATAAGGCAGAATGTTGAGAAAAAAATTTACATTTTTAAATTGCAATAAAAATTCATATTTAAGGGTTTTTAGGTGTGCAAAAAATGAATATCATCTTTTTTTATCCCAATAAAATACATTTCATGGTATAACATGTGTATAATTCATGTTTTATTCTTATTTTCAGATCGAATTTCGACAAAATACAAGATTTTGTGCTTGTAGTCTTACTTTTGATGTCCGTCTGGTTTAGAAAAAATACATATTTGGCATACAGCTATAGTATATTATGAGTCCAATATTGAAATAATTAGTACTGATGACCTATTTCATATTCTGCTCATTTTTCAAGCAATACTCGATTCAAATTGATCATTTGTTGTTGATAGTGTTCAGTATTAACAGTTTTGTTAGGTTTTAGTAACTCATAACAGATAACACTCTTCTGATCTCATTTTCATTTCTCATGTCAAAATTGCCACTTTTGAATTTTTTAAACCATTCATAGAACTGGATTTACCAAATGGTATTCAATGTGATTCAGCAGCATTCTTCTTTAAATGGTAACAGAAAACTAATGCTGTCGGCAAATTAGTTTTTAAGGACAAAATTTTACATGTTAAAAAATTTGATACTGTTATATGGAACTCAAATTGTTCTGAGTTGAAAATTTTAGTGAGCTGTTGAAGAAACAAAATGGCACCAATCATGCGGTTTAACAGTTACCACATTAACAACTAGAACCTTCCATGGGTCAATTTTGTTTTCATATTTACACATCTGGTATATAGACTTTGCTCAGCAGGGCAGTTACTGGAATTAGATCCCATTAGTGTCGATTCACAAGAAAAGTTATATACCAAGAGAAGAATTAGCAGACCGAGACTGCATTGGGCTGTTGGAATGACAGAAGATGCTTGGCCATCTTTGGAGTAAGGAAATAGAAAGCAGTGGCACTGCACCCCCAGAAAACTGACAGTTAATGCTCCAGGAGGCCCTGACTCGCCATGAGTTGTATTATTGCAAGCAAAGAAAAAATCATTTAGAAGAGTAAATTGCAGAATTATGATCCACTGTTGTGGTTCAGTTTTTCAATAATGTTATTGTCTTATTTTATTATTTTGGAATTGAGGCTGTATTAATATTTATTAATTTTCATAGTTTTTATAATGTACAATTATATTTTTCCCAATGTAAAAATTTGTCATCGAATTATAATTTGTTTTGTTTAATATTTCTTAGAAGTTTCAAGAATTTAGAGATTGATCATTGAAAAGTATGGAATACGGTTATTAGCTGTTCTCACGATATTTAAAAACAAATCATAGGTTTTCTGTTTGTTTTTATTGTGATTTTTAAGCAATATGTTTGGAAAAATAAATTATAATGATTGTAGACAAATATTAATTTTTTGTTGCAGAAGAATTGCTTCCTGAATATGAACTTTTAAGTGTAATTTGGGCAATACTTACTGAATTTTCTAGTGTTTTAAGAAGAAATTGTATTATAAATTTAAATCATTCGTATTTAGTTTCTGCCATGCTGAAGCATTGTGGTCTGGATGAATCCAAGCATAGGAATATATGTGCTAGTATATTCCAAAAAAAGGTCCGTCTAACTTCTTATAATTTAAGATTTTTTAAAAATCTCTTTCTATAATGATCTGAAATAAATTTATTGTAAAATTCTATTGAAAATTTAGGAAATAACCTATTCTTTGATATACATGAGAGAAATTGTAATAAATGTATATAATGATTCTTTAACCTCATCATAAATTACATAATGGAACCATCATGTTAATTGAATAATAATCTCCCCATATAATATCAACAAACAGAGCTCTTTTACATAAATATATATTATTCATGCTTTGTTTTCTTAAAGGTTGTGCCAGTTTAGTATCTTTTTCTGGTTTGAGGCACCAGTTTCTTGGGGATGGTGGGTTTAGATTCCACAACTAACACTATATTCTGTGTTATTACAACCCATGAAGTGTATTTGGTTCAGCACTTTGTAAGTAGGTACTGTTTTAAGGCCAATGGTTGTAAAGGGAGGTGATTGGGCCTAGATAATGCTCAACCACAAGGCTTTTCCCCTTAATCAATCAATTAATTTAAGGTACCAAGGTATAACATTCCTGCCCCCATATAACACATGTAAATTAGCAATATAACTACTGTAAAACAGGAGCATTGTATATCTATGGGATAATATTACTCCAAAACTAAAATAAGTTTTAGACAATGTAAGTAAAAACTAATGGAATGATAAACTTGGAAATGGCTTCTCTATTAAACTAGAACTTAGTTATCTATGAAATGGAAAGTTTGTTTTTGGAAATTGAAAATAAAGAAGTGGTCCTAATTTTGTAGTAATGTTAACCCCATTCTTCTCTAAAATTGTAAAATTCTCCCATTTTATGGTATTTATCTTAATGTTTTAATCACATGCTATGAAATATAACATAACAATCAGGTTGACTAAACTATAATCTCCTCTCATAATAATAAAAACCACATAACATATTAATGTTTTATATAAATACATGTCCTGCAGAAATAAGGAGTGTTTAATTTGTAAAATTAAAACAGTAACCTAAATGGAAAGTGGGTTCAATATATATTCTTTCAACTTCTCATGTAAGAATGGAAATTGAACCTACTCTTTTCATTAACCTTGGAATACTAACATTCCTAGTTCAATCACTTAATGCTAATGTGTATAGTGGTGAGGTACATAACTTTATTTTTATTCAAGTTAAATAAATAAATACTTTTTTTCAAGTCAATTTATTACTAGCCATATTTACACCAATTTAAAAAAAATTTTGTTGTCACTCAATGACCACTCATCAAAATGACGACGTTTCGGCTCGTCGAGCCATTTTCAAGTCATTTATTGTATTCACAATTGTAAATTTCCAATTCTTCCATACTTCATCCTTCGGCATGTTTTCTGGGTCGTTATTAGGCCTCCCAGTTAATAATATTCACAATATTACTCAATTCTTCTTCGGTGCATACTATTATTTTCAAGTCAATTTATTACTAGCCATATTTACACCAATTTAAAAAAAATTTTGTTGTCACTCAATGACCACTCATCAAAATGACGACGTTTCGGCTCGTCGAGCCATTTTCAAGTCATTTATTGTATTCACAATTGTAAATTTCCAATTCTTCCATACTTCATCCTTCGGCATGTTTTCTGGGTCGTTGTTAGGCCTCCCAGTTAATAATATTCACAATATTACTCAATTCTTCTTCGGTGCATACTATTTATTTTCAAGTTAATTTATTATAAGCCTTATTTACACCAATTTAAAAAAAAAAAATGTCACTTAATGACTACTCATCACAATGACGACGTTCGCTGTCGAGCCATTTTCAAGTCATTTATTGTATTCACAATTGTAAATTTCCAATTCTTCCATACTTCATCCTTCGGCATGTTTTCTGGGTCGTTGTTAGGCCTCCCAGTTAATAATATTCACAATATTACTCAATTCTTCTTCGGTGCATACTATTATTTTCAAGTCAATTTATTACTAGCCATATTTACACCAATTTAAAAAAAATTTTGTTGTCACTCAATGACCACTCATCAAAATGACGACGTTTCGGCTCGTCGAGCCATTTTCAAGTCATTTATTGTATTCACAATTGTAAATTTCCAATTCTTCCATACTTCATCCTTCGGCATGTTTTCTGGGTCGTTATTAGGCCTCCCAGTTAATAATATTCACAATATTACTCAATTCTTCTTCGGTGCATACTATTATTTTCAAGTCAATTTATTACTAGCCATATTTACACCAATTTAAAAAAAATTTTGTTGTCACTCAATGAGCCGAAACGTCGTCATTTTGATGAGTGGTCATTGAGTGACAACAAAATTTTTTTTAAATTGGTGTAAATATGGCTAGTAATAAATTGACTTGAAAATAATAGTATGCACCGAAGAAGAATTGAGTAATATTGTGAATATTATTAACTGGGAGGCCTAATAACGACCCAGAAAACATGCCGAAGGATGAAGTATGGAAGAATTGGAAATTTACAATTGTGAATACAATAAATGACTTGAAAATGGCTCGACGAGCCGAAACGTCGTCATTTTGATGAGTGGTCATTGAGTGACAACAAAATTTTTTTTAAATTGGTGTAAATATGGCTAGTAATAAATTGACTTGAAAATAATAGTATGCACCGAAGAAGAATTGAGTAATATTGTGAATAAATACTTTTTTTTATTCAAGGTAAAATAAATAATTAATACGGGTTATGATGAGTATATTTTATTCTATATAGCACCACTTAATGAAATTATGATAAAAGTTTACAATTGAAAAATTTAAATTAAACACTTGAATTAAAAATATGTAAACACAAAATACAATATTGAAAGAGATATAATTTTACTTTTTAGTTTTTGCATAACCAGAAAATATTTTGTGCATATGCTTGTTACATATTTGATTCTTGGTATCCATAGATTATTACTCTTTGTTATGTCCTGACAGTTTTATATAAAAAAATATCTGGGGTATGACTACTCACACAACCTTGACTGCTTTGGATGCACAGTCTATACAAAATTTTTTTGCTGTATTTTAGGTAGTATTGGTCAATTTTCTTTAACTTTATCTGACAATGTAATTATCTTTCATATGAATAAAGTGTATACTTTTTTATTATACAATACATAAATATCGCTTTTATACTTCCCTTCCCTCTTTCTCTTCAACAAACACTGGTCCTTTGGGGCAGAAATATTTGGTCACGTTAACTATAACTAGCTACATTAACACATTACATCACTAGTTCACCTTAAGTTTGTTTTCGTTCTTAGGTTGTTGAACCTGCCATCTTTGCACTATTTTCTTCTAAAAAAAATTTATTTTTGATACTCAGATTTTTTTATTGGCATTGGACATTTATGAATCCATACAGCCAGCTGATCATATTAAATTAAATATATTTCCTAATTGCTTTAATATATTTTTCCATGCTGCTTATCTGTTCACAGCTATAGTGATAAAATTCATTTATATGTAATGTTGCTATTGTTTGGAAACGTTTTCTTCTGTGAGATTCCTAAGCCTCACATTCCATAACGATATGGTATAGTGTTTCATGACTTATACAGTTTTCACATTTGGCCGAATTCGAAACTCCTATATGGTGTAAATAGCTATTGCATAATCCATGATTTGATCTTAATGTGCTTAAGTAATTTTTATTTCCTCCTTATTCAGATTTGTAGTTGCTAAGTTAAGCAGCTATTACAGAAATGAACATTCCTTTGTGAATCATGGGTTGAAATTCGAAAATTGAGCTTGTACCAGTGAAAATCCTAAACTTTCAATAGCGTTTTGACATAAATATGATTTTTGCACCTAACATACTATGCACAGGTGCCACAGGTATAAACTGCAATTATTTGGCGATGAGATTAATTTGTAGATATTATCTTAAATTCTTAAATTATGCTGGTTTTACTTTCTTGTTATATAGCACTTAAATTAGATATATGCTAATGGTACTGCCAGTTTGTGTCAGCATTTTTACAAATTTTTTTTTTATTTTTACAAATTGTATTAATATTTACTTTATTTACTCATTAGTAATGATTTAATTATTTATTTTAATTTTTTCAGACATTTTATCATACAAAATCTGAACTAGAGTGTTATTTGAAATCTTTGGGCATATCTGAGAGAATATCATCAATGTTAATCCAGTGGATGGAAATTGAAGGTCCTCTAAATAAAGTTTCATCAGTCATTTATTCCCTTATAAAAAATGATGAAACTAGATCTGTTAGTCATGCTGGTTTTAAGCAACTAGAACTTATTCTTAATTTTTGTGATATCATCGGAATAACTGTAAGTTTCCCTTCGAGTACATATATACTTGTGTTTAATATATTTTTTATGTATATATGTATTTATATGTTTGTATTATTAACATTTCTCTATTTGAATATTATTATATATGTATTAAAATGTATAATACTACATGTTGAGATTGGTGAGAGGTATTATACCTATGCTTAATGCCTGTGTATTGAATAAATTTTCTCTTGCCCATCCTAGGTTCTTTTATATTATTCCAATATTAGAATCCGTTCCCAAGTTTATCACTCTATTAGCTGAAAATCATAAGTGATTTTTTTTTTTTTTAATTTAAGGTATTAGATGTCATTATTATTTAGAAGATAGGCGTTCATAGTATTTAAAATATTTCATAAATTCTAGCCCACAACAATCTCTTCTTTTTATCATAATAATAGTTTATAGTAATTTTAAATTATTCAGGAGCTATACAAACATGTTCTTCTTCTTATTCAATTAAAATTAACACTTGTAAATTTAATAATAATCAAATATTTATAATAGTGAATTTTGATTATAAAACAATTGGTAATTTTATATGAGGGCTGAGACAGTCTCTCTGGTATACACCACTTGAAATGGTAATGTATTCAGGTGATTGCTTATCTTCCATTCTCAGTCTTATTTTCCAGGTGTTCATCAATTTCCTCAGAAGTTCTTTAATATATGGATGAATTTTATATACATCCAGAACTTTTAAAAGCCAATTATGAGGAACTGAGTCAAATGCTTTTTTAAAATTAACCCAGGCTGTTGACAAATTTCTTTTATTCATTGTCGTTTGGCCTGCAATGAATGAGGAATAGTTCTTTACACTCTTGAGCTCTTTTTCTATAACCAAGTTGCTCGAGTAGAATCAAATTATTGATTTGCAGGTGAAATTCAATCTTACTTGTGAGAATGGATGTTAAAATCTTATACACACCATTGAGGCAAGTAATTGGCCAAAAGTCTTGAGGTTCCAATCCATCTCATTCTTTTTTGGTAATCAGATTAGTAACGCCCTCACAAAACTATCCGCCTATACCTGTTATCATTTTTTACTTTCACTTACCTATATATGTAATATAATATATAATAAAGGAAGGAGATGGTCCGGGGTGGCGGTTATAAATAGGCTAAATAGTGGCAAAACTATTTTATTAAAAGCCAATGTTTCGACCTGGAAACGTATTTGCAGGTTTTTTTCAGGGTTAGAACGAACAAGATACAAAAAGATATAGAAAATTGTGGAAGTTACATAATATTAAGACAAAACATTATAGGGAAATTTGCTGTCCTGTTGGGGTAATGGGGGAAAAAAAAAACCCTGGAAAATTACGGTATCCTTTTTTTTTCCCCCATTACCCAAACAGGTCAGCAAATTTCCCCAATACCTACCCTTACCCTGATTTTCCAGTTCTTAGTGAAACTCCTAGCTGAACACACCTGTAAGTCTCTATTTTTATTCTTCTAATTTTATATACTTATTTATTTATTTTTTGGTTTTCTTTTTTCTTTTTCTTTTCTTTCTCCACATTAAATTCGTCATATCAGTGTAAAATTAAGCAGTTTTAAATAAAATGTGGTTATTATTCTGATTGATGTTCTTTAACAGGGCTTAAATGGCTAATTTTCAATATTAGCTTCCTCTAAAGTACCTTTAATTTTTTTTTATTGAAGCATTGACCATTTCATATTAATTTCTAATAGGAAAAATTGTTAAATATAAAATATGAAAGAATTTGATAAGTAACTTTTTAATTAAAGTTAATTTTACACTGATATGACGAATTTAATCAAAATTGTTGGAGCGGTTTTTGAGATAATAAGAAAAATGTGTTTAGTGCATTATATAAAGTACCACAAGGTATAAATAAGAGATCGTAACGGAGAATATTTGTAATTGAGGAACCAAAGGAATACGAGTGCACCCAAGCTCACCTAAAAGATTAGAACACGCTTCCATACGTATCATGAGATTAATATAATCCGGACTCCGACAATATTATATAAATATACATATGTGGTTTTCATAAATGCTATTATTGGTATTATTTAATATTTAATTGTATAGATTACAGCTATATAAAAATTAAAATTTGTATATATATGAGGGTATTTATACAAATAAAAATACCCACAATGAAATATAAATAAATATAGAGTCAATAATTTTTACTTTCACTTCGCTTTGTCTGAAAATACTTATTTCTGCTAAGAAGAGGGTGGTAAGTGAAAGTTGTGTGACCCGCGCACCGCACCAGATTTTTATAATTCATTGCAAGTGTTTCATGCAGGCAGGATAGATTTTTTAACCATTAATTCTGAATTCTATCAATACCAGGTGCTTTACAGCTTTTCATTTTCTTTGTAGCGATGACTACATCCTCTTTCGGGATGTCGAATTCTGGCATTTGTGGTTTCTCCTGAAGTTCAGTATTTATTAATTTTAATCATTATGCTCTACATTATGTTCCCAAAGCTCTTTCCAATATTCCATAATATTGTTAGTTAATGAACAATTTGAACCTCTCTTCTTATCATTCATTACCTCAGCTCCGATAAAACTGCTTCTCACTGTTTTTGAACATCTTGTTCTGCTGTTTTCGAAGTTTTGACTTTTTATACCTTCGTATTCAGTTTGCATAAACTGCAAGTTTTTACATCATTATATCAGCATGTAAAGCCAGTTTTTCAATAAGCTCAGATTCTAACACCATCCCTATTTATAGTACAACTATTTCATAGATTTTTTCGTTTTACTTTTGTACCTGCTCCAACCGGATTCCTGATATAACTTTTTATTACTCCAATATTTGCCCTGAGTGAAGCTATTTTATTTTCCAATCTTCTCTTCGTGGAAGTTTTGTATTATTCTTATCTCTCTTTGTTTCTTGCTTTTCCAAGCCAAGTTCAATAATAATGACCCTAGCTGCAACATAGGCCCAATGACAAACAGCTTTGACTGTCATTTCTGGTTAATCTACTATAAGTTTACTCAGACCTTCATTAATCTGTCACAGTCAAACATGATTTGAAGCTATAGGGAATCCTTGAAAGGATTGGTCTAACATCAAGCCGTATCCCCTCGTAAATCACATGCTGGGATAATAATGATTTCATTAGTTTGTCAATATCTTTGTCTCCTTCTTCTGGAGGAGCTGCCTCTATTGCCAACGATCTTTCTAAATGAGGTCCTGTTGGCTGCTCTTCATTTTCAGTTGGTACCATTCCTAATCGTTCAGATACAATTGTTTTTATATTTTCTATTTCCACTGCAGATAGGAATTTTCTTGAACAGATCACTTTAACTTGATCACTTAGCCTATGTGAACTCATAGCCATCTGTGGATATATTTAGTTCTTGCCAATACAGTTGAATACTTCCTAGGTATCCCGTCTTATCTGTTTCTAATTTTTTTGCCAAAAGATATGCCTGGATGACATATGAATGACAGCCTTGTTTATTTCTGGCATCCATTTCATCCTTCTAGCACCTCTTGGTCTCTGTTGCCGGATTTGTGTGGGAAGAGAAATAGTCTCGCACAAGCCCGAACTCGAACTAGTTGTCAGTTTTTGCAGTCTTGTGGTCCATTGTGACAGGGTGGCGCCACTTGCTCCGCCACTACCTGAAGGAAGCTGTCGAAGATTCCTGCCTGGTTCAGCTTCATTCCCAGGCTCGTCTGAGGCTATACGTTGATTTCTTAACTCCATTTTTGGTGGTTATTCACATTTTAAACCTTCTGCCATGCCTTCCTAGGTAAGGTTGCCCTAGGGTGTGTACTGGAAATGCCTTTGGTGTCAGTGTATATGGTATTGTGTGCTGTAATGTATGTGTTTGTTAAAAGTTACTTCTTATGGTCCTCAAAATAGTTTTCTAGACAGGAGCGCTGAATGTCCCATTTGTAATACATGTGAACCAGAAGATTTATACAATTTTTTGTTGCTATGTCCTACAAATGAAGCTTTTAGAAGTAAGTATTTAAGTAAATATATTGATGGTAATTCTGAGGATAAAGAACAAATTGTAAAATTATTTCATTTAGAAAACAAATATGAACTCGATGATATATACTTATATATCAAAGATTGTTTAAAATTAAGGAATCTTTTTATGTTTATTCAAGAATGAATAGCTTTATCATTAAGTTTAAGGTTAAGATTATATGTAAATAATAATATTCGGAATTAAAATTATATTTTAGTTTATTCAAGATAGTTTATAATTGTATCAAACACAACTGGTTTATTTTACTGGTTCTTACTATTAATGTATTTAATTTGATTTCATGTATATAAACTCAACTCCATTTGTATTGGTCCTCCCAAAAACAGATAAAATTAATTTATAATTATAAGTATGTATGTGTTTGTGAATGTTGGGATGTACTCAGGAGCCCGGGGGAGCATAAAATCCCAACAGCTGTGTTCATCAGTTGCCCTTGCGGGATTATTATTATTATTTCTATTTTTTATTCTTGCTTTGTGGGGTGAGTTTCTGAGGTGGGATAAGTGCAGCCACCTTCATATTATTATTTATTATTTTTTTAGATGTTTAAAAATTTTCTGACAATACGTGCTGTGTCTAAGAGAACTGATTGTTGATGCTCTTTCAGCAAATCAAGAAGTATTTTAAAACCAATTCTGCCTGCCACTGTTGATTTTGGTATCAGTCCATTGGAGGGTATTATAATTGGATTGGTGGTGATGCTCCCCAAATGATATAATGCCTTCAATTCTAATGCCAGTTCCTGATATTTTCTCAGTTTTTCTCAAACAGTGGAGCTTGTTATTTTCATTGAGGAGCCTGACATCAATAAGCTCTGTTTTTTTCTCTCTCATATCTATCAGGAGGATATCTGGTTTATTATGATGTACAGTATGGTCAGTTATAAAAAATTCATCCCAATAAAGCTTGAGACCACCTTTTTGGAGGAGTTTATTTGGGTGGTACTTATAATATGGAGTTTTATCACATAATAAGTTTAGCTTCACTGCTAGAACCTGATGAAAAATTTTGGCCACATTTTTATGCCTCAGGAGATACTCGATGCCAGCTAACACTCCCCACATCCACCTGTGGTTTCTTGGATTGATTTCAGTGTCGCTGAGCATAATCGACACTTATCCATAGTTGTTGCGTCTTTTAGAACATTTATTATTATTATATATCTATTTATATTTCATATATTTACTCTTTGAAATCTTAAACTTTATTTTTAAGAGAAGCATTAGGAAAAAAAATATCTATCCTCAGTTTGAGTAAAAACATTATTTTAAACAATTATTGTTTTATATTTCTTCTTTCTAACCACATAATCAATGATCACCAATTTGGATTCCGTACTTTCCATTCCATGATCCAGCAGTGTCATCGTGTGGTAGACGTCTCCACTGCATTGGAGTGCGGATTGTATTGCACTGGAGTCTTTCTCGACGTTGAACAGCCGTTTGATCAAGTTTGGCACCCAGGATTGCTTTACAAACTCCATAAATTTCTTTCCCCTACATACTTTCTCATCATGAGTTCCTACCTTACTGATAGACACTTCAAAGTAAATCATAATAATGCCTATTCATCCTTGGTCCTATCCTTTACACAGTTTATACAGCTGATATCCCAACCCATCCTAACACCGTTATCACCACCTATGCCGATGACACATTTATCGTATCAGTTAATAACGATCTGTCAATTGCATCCCATACTCTTCAACCACACATCTCAAACCTTGAAGAATGGTGTCAAAGCTGGAGGATTAAAATAAATCCCAACAAATCACCATAACCCTTTGTCGTAAACCTATGACTTCCTGTCCTACAGTATCCTTTAATAACACCCCACTTATCTCTGTTGAACAAATCCGATTTCTAGGACTCCACCTGGACAAATGTCTCTTGGAATCCTCATACAAGACTGAAATGACAAGAAACTGCTCGACGTTTCCGCTTACTCCAACACTTACTAGACAAATGCTCTAAACTTTCAATTAATTACAAAAGATTAATATACATGACTACAATAAGACCTTTTTAGACTTACAGAGTTGAGCTATGGGGCTCCACTAAACCATCTCGTATCCAATCCTTACAATCCAAAATCCTTTGTAAAATCCTCAATGCTTCTTGCTTTGTCACAAATAAAATAATCCATAAATGTTCCATAAAATAATCCTTAATGTTCCATGTTTCCGATTTGGCCCAATCCAGATACCTATCCTTCCATAATAAACTTCATAACCATCTGAATCCTCTCATTTCTAACCTTGCTTCATCTTCGATACCTGATAACCCTCTGGGGCTTCTGAAAAGAAGATGGACTCATGATCTCCTTATATAGGCATATTATTAGACAGCTACTAGTGGGTAGTTTCTCAACAAGCGTTTTCATGTGATTATATTCCTGTGTACATATTTACTTGATGTATTTATATTGCAATACAGTTGTAAATATATTGAAAAAAAAAATTTCTTCTATGTTAATTTTATAAAATACATATTGTATTTTCTTATTTTCAGTGTCCAGTATTAATTTCCTTAGGTCACTTGAAGAATGCTCATTATTATTCTGGATTAATGGTGCAAGTGATTTGTAGTCAAAAAAATAGACCAAAAGAAACAGAACGTACTATTCTTTTGAGTGGAGGGAGATACGATAATTTATTACAACTTTTGAAGTGAGTAGTCTTTTAAATTTAGTCATACTCTAGATATTTAATCTATCAATAATGTGAAAACTCGTCTGAATTCATATAAATATTTTAAGACTGTGGTTTTGATCCTAACATCCCATAAGTGTTTTTTAATTGATGTTAACTAATAACTCTCAGTCACTTTTCCCTCCACAAGTGTGGGCAGAAGATTGGTTCAGAGTTTTCCTGGCTGTAAATAGTGTATATAAGTATATCTGTGTTTAAGATGTTTATTTATTTATTATCAGAAGATTGGTTCGGTGTTTTCCTGGCTGTAAATAGTGTATATAAGTATATCTGTGTCTAAGATGTTTATTTATTTATTATTTTTCTTAATTATTTATATATATATATATATATATATATATTATTATTAACAAAATGCCCAATCCTACTTCTCCTAAAGACTACCGCCCAATCTCCATTCTTTCTAACCTTTCTAAACCTCTGGAAAGAATAGCTCAATCCCAAATCTCTAAATTCCTTGAAAACTCAAAACTACTTGATCCTCTCCAATCTGGTTTTCGACCTGGCTTCTCCACACAATCCGCCCTACTAAAAATTACCAATGACTTACATACCGCAATGGACGAAAAAATATTAACTGTGTTAATACTTCTCGACTTTTCCAAAGCTTTTGACTCCTTAGACCACTCTATACTCTACACTAAATTAAAATCTCTATCCTTCTCCAACAGCTCTATCTTCTGGTTGCAGTCTTTCCTATCCGACAGAACTCACGCAGTCAGCATTCCAAACCAACCCCTATCTTCCTTCCTTACACTGTCCTCAGGAGTGGCCCAAGGTTCGAGCATTTCCCCTCTCCTTTTTAATTCCTACATAAATGATCTTTCCAAATCCATCTACCACTGTTCACATCATTTATACCCTGATGACTCCCAAATCTATTTTTCCTTTCATCCTTCTGAGCTACTAGTCGCGTTCGCCAATATTCAGACAGACCTAGATAGGATCAGTGCCTGGGCAAGTCTGAATAATTTATTGTTTATTTATTATTTAATGGAATAATTTAAATCTAAACGCGACGAAAACTCAGGCCATTATTATAGGTTCCAATTCTATTCTTAAATCCATTTCCTTCCTCCTTTAGTCATCAAGGATCATCCTATCACATTCAGCTCCTCCGTTAAAAACCTAGGAATCACCATAGACGAAAACCTCTCCTGGAAACCCCATATCACCCTCATCTCCCGTAAGTCAATAGGTACCCTTAAACTATTTCATCGCTCACGCCACCTACTCCCACAAACCATCCGCAAGCTCCTTGTATCCTCTCTCATTTTCCCCCACTTTGACTACGGCTGTGTGGTGTACGGAGGCATCCCGATGGTACTCGAGGATAGATTGAAGCGACTCATGAATACGTGCTTAAGATATGTCTTCGGAACATCGAGGCGATCTCATGTGTCCCACCTTTACAAAGAGTTAAAGTGGCTCTTCCCTTCTTTCCGCAGACAATATTTCCTTGGATCTTTCCTATTCCAAACGATCAACACCCGACACCCTTCCTACATCTACAGTCTCCTACAGTTTAAATCCGTGGTCCACTCCCAGAAAACAAGATCCCGTGTTTCCGACCTTTATATCCCTTCCCATAGAACTAAGACGTTTGAATATTTCTGTATTGCCCGATCCACTGCCTTCTGGAATTCCTTGTCTTCTGAAATCCGCCATGCCTCTTCCTTGTCCTCATTTAAATATCTTTACCAATTCCTTCTCACATCCCAAAATGACGTTATACAATGAAATAAATATTGAGAAACAGATTTTGACTGAGGTGAATGGTTGTAAAAATTTATAGAGTTTTAATTTTAAAAATCAACCCATGTTTATTTTAATGATGTAGAGATGGTTGACCGTTGATATGATATGAGAAGGAGTTAGTTGAGGGTGCGGTCAAATAAATAAAAAAATTAAAAAATATAAATAATTTTAATTTTTGCCGACGTTTCGACCCACTTTGCAGGTCGTCTTCAGGGCTACAAAAGATACAAACATGTTGAAAAAATAAAAATAAAATAAAAAATAAATATAAGTATATATAAATTACGAAGAAGGTGTCAGATACAGAAATAAAAGATAAAGAAAATAAATACATGATAAGAAAATAGATAAAAGAAAATAAATACATGAATGTTAACGAATAAATGAATGTTAACGAATAAATAGATTGAAAATTGAATAACTATTGTTACAGTAAAGTTAAAATATGGATAAGATAACATAATACTAAGATATCAGTGGATAACAAGCAAGTGGAGGTTACCTTTAATTGTAAATAAACAGATAACGGGTCTAAAGGTTAAGAAGTGAAGAAATTGAAAGATTAATAGGGTAACATTAGTGTAATATTGTTGGGATGGATTATTAAGTATAAATAACTCTATAAGAAAACAATAATTTTAAAAGAATACTTTAAAATGTAAGAATAAATGTAAAAACAAGGTTATGATGATAAAGAAACAAAAAACAGGTTGTACTATATATAGATGACAATTGACATTTAATGTTACCCTATTAATCTTTCAATTTCTTCACTTCTTAACCTTTAGACCCGTTATCTGTTTATTTACAATTAAAGGTAACCTCCACTTGCTTGTTATCCACTGATATCTTAGTATTATGTTATCTTATCCATATTTTAACTTTACTGTAACAATAGTTATTCAATTTTCAATCTATTTATTCGTTAACATTCATTTATTCGTTAACATTCATGTATTTATTTTCTTTTATCTATTTTCTTATCATGTATTTATTTTCTTTATCTTTTATTTCTGTATGTGACAACTTCTTCGTAATTTATATATACATATATTTATTTTTTATTTTATTTTTATTTTTTCAACATGTTTGTATCTTTTGTAGCCCTGAAGACGACCTGCAAAGTGGGTCGAAACGTCGGCAAAAATTAAAATTATTTATATTTTTTAATTTTTTTATTTATTTGACCGCACCCTCAACTAACTCCTTCTCATGTTTATTTTATTTTGTTCTCTTTTCATTTAAATAATGTTTTTTTTTATTTTTTTTTCTTTTCAAAATGGTGTTATTTTTACTTGTTTTAATTTAATTTTACTGAAGATACTATATATTCTTTAACATTGACTAATGTAATTTTTGGCCAGATGTAGTTTTTATTTTTTGTTCATATCTGTTATTCATAAGGGACCTTGTCCCAGAATAAAGTTTACTTTCTATCTCTCTCTCTCTCTCTCTCTCTCTCTCTCTCTCTCTCTCTCTCACTCTCTCTCTCTCTCTCTCTCTCTCTCTCTCTCTCTCTCTCTCTCTATATATATATATATATATATATATATTTATATATATACTTTTCTTCTCTTTATGATATTTATTTTGTTCTTATTTCTATGTGTTATATTGCTGTTACTTAATTTATTTATTTTTTCTGTAAATATGGTGTGATTATGCTCTCTGATCTCTATTATGAATCTCTTTAATTGAGACAGAATGTAATTTTCTCAATAATGAAGTTTGTCAGTAAAAAAAAGAAAAATAATAAAATCTCGCAGCATACCCAGTTTCAATTGTCAGGGTGACAATTTATAAATTACTAACTTATATTTGCAACCCACTTTAAAAAAAAAAAAAAAAGTAGCCACTATATTATTTGCAACCCACTTTAAAAAAAAAAAAAAAAAAAAAAAAAAAAAAAAAAAAAAAAAAAAAAAAAAAAAAAAAAAGTAGCCACTGTAAGTTGGCTTTATTAACATATGGCCCTAAATGACTACAGAAATATATATATATTTTTTTTATGTTGGTATTATGGACCTTGTAGATCTTTTGGCATCTTAACAAGCCTTCTTGAGCTCTGCCTATGTGTGACTATTTTTTTTCAAGTTATCTACATGCAGCCCTACAATATCTTTGTTGATTTGATCTATCCATCTAGTTTTTGGCTTTCTACTTTGTCTCTTACTATTGAGGCATTCATTGTTGTTGGAGGCTTCTTGATGGATTGTTCTGTGCTACATACCCCGCCCATCTTAACTTCCTTGTCTTGAGATATTGATTGACCAGTTTCTGTAAGTAGTTTTTTATTGATCCTTCTTCTCCCCTTTAATAAGAATAAGAAAAGTAATCTTATGATGAGATCAGTTTGTAACATAATGAATAAATTTTCCTTCTAGTTTGTTAACAATTTAATTCTCTTATAGCTACAAATGTCTTTGTGGAAATTTGAATCAGGTTGGCAATCACCACATCTACCTTTTACAAGATATACAATGTTTACACTCTTCTTCATTATATATTAATTTTTATGAATTTATTTATAGAGAAAGTCTTCCACGAGATGATGGAAAGTGTAACCAGTATGTAATTGGTTTTACTATGTCTGTTGATAAATTGATTTTTTGTTTGGAAGGAGAAGATAAATTGTCTCATATAGATGCCATGGTATGTGTAATTGGTAAAATTACAATGTCACATGATAAATTGTCTCTTTTAAGAGATTTATGGAAACATGGTATCAAAACATCTTTTGTGCAATCAATACAGGTAAGAATTATCGTTTGAATCATAAATTAATACTTTTATTTGGAAGAAAGATATTTATTTTCTTTTAATTTTAGACATTAGAAGAAATCCAGTGCCACTGTAGAAATGCTGGAATACCTGTTATTATATTAATAAAAGAAACAGAAGCTGGCTTTGCTAGAATTAGGACCCTTACAAAGGATAGGTATGTTCTGTTATAGTTATAATTTCAGAAATATTGGGTTGTTCTTCTGTATTTTTTTTAGTACTTGTTTATTATTAGTATCTAATACTTATTTGTTATTTATTTACTTTAGTTATTTTAATAGTGTGACTAGAAATTTTCATGCAGAATAGGCACATTTTGGTACTAAACTCATTTTTCTACCTTTGCTAGCTTCAGAGATAAAAAATAAAATGCGTTTTGAACATGCTAACTTCCTGATTTTGTTCTGGGGTTCCGGGGGTGCATTTACTCTTAGTATTTTAAATATCCTATTATTTAAATTTTTCCGTTTTATTTTTAAGCTAAAAAATTTTCTTAAAATTTAGAAGACAGATGTGGGATCCTTTCTTTTTAAGAACTTAAACATAAGCTGTAGAACAAGATCGAGAACTTGCATTAAATAGTATAGATTAAAAACCAAAATTTGTTTTGGTTTGATCAAAAACTGACCTCTGTTTGAATTTTTATAGCACAATATAACTTCTAAAACATTTTGAAATCTCTAAAATGTGCTTTACAATGTAAGCCTATTCTTTAAACTTCCTTTCAAGTTATATAATTTGCATTACCAATGATTTCTTTCCTCAAAATATTCTTTAAAAAAAATTATGGTTAAACAAATATTTAAATATAAAAGCATTAATTATATTATTTAGCTGGTATAGCAGAGTGATTAGTGTGCTATACTAGTAAAGTAAAGATCTATATATTGGTAAGATCTTGATATGTTTTGGTTTTAATAAATAAAATTAAAATGATAAACTATTTTATTGTGGATGTTTATTTTTAGTAGGATACTTATTTAGTTATTAATATTAATCAAATCAGATTAAGGTTTGAATATACCACAGTATTCTCACAACAGATTTTATTATTAAATATTTTTCTTATAAAAAATGCTGAATAAAGGAATTAAAGATATTTTAAAAAAAGAGAAGAGTAATAAAGGAAATGAAAACAAGAATTGATATTACTATAATAAACAATCGGCATTAATAAACATGTACTATCGAGAGTGGTGGTATATTATTAGGTAATTTGAAGATTAGGTAATTATTGATAGCATTTGCAAATGGCAAATAAAGTAGGCTGAAATTTTACAAAATAAAATATTTTAAAATAATTGTTTTTGGTTAAATTGTTTTTTAAAAATAAAATCTCCTGTGTCAATATTGTCATTTGTCATTTGTGAATATTGTCAAAACTTTAATTTAATTTCATTAATTTAATAGTATTTCCAATATATACTTTAGACCAAAGAAGGATAAATCGCCTGAAAAACTTAGACAGTTACATATCAGCATATTGTGTGAACTGTACCCGGTTAATGTAATTGAGGTCATTACATTGCAATGAATAAAATGGGCATGTAAAATTGCTGGGCTCTGTTATTGTTATTCTTTGATTTCTCTGTTTATCTGTTCTCTTTTTACCATTTTTTTTTTTAAATCTGTTTCCATAGATTTTATGAGAAAAAAGTTCCTATCAGCGATGTTGTTGAATATATACATAAAGCTAAGAGTCAGACTTTAGATAATGTAGGCTGTGTAAAGACTGAAGTAAAATCTCATTCACCCACTGAAGGCCCATTAATAACATTTGTAACCCCAGAAAAATTAAATCAAGGTGCTAAGCGAAGATATGAAAGTCAGGTATTAATTATACTTAATTAGCTAATATGCCTGATTATATTATATTCTATACCCATATGTTGATACGATAATATGATCATAATGTATTTATTATGTTAAATAATTAAACATTTTTTGCAATTAATCATTTATGATTTTGTTCTTAGATATTGAATAATCTATCAGCTGTTTTTATGAAGTTTTCTACCAAAGTTAAGATTGAAATTTTCGCTACACCATTTGACAGTGAATTGTTGAAAGCAGTTGCTAACATTGTTGATTCTAAGACAAAGTGTGAAATAGACTTGAGCTCTCTAATAAAAAAGTAAAAATTTTATTACAATTATTTTAATGTAGTTTATAATCTCTGTTCCACCACTAAAATTTAAGATATAACTAACTGCAGTATCATTTTTTAAAATTTAATATTTATGTAATTTTTTTTTACTGTTATTGGGTCTTACAATATTTTCTAATTGCTAAGTTATTATCTTTGCAGCTAAAATTTAGTTAATTTGTTAATTTAGTTAATGCTATTCAATTAATATCACTTTCATAATTCATATTGGTATTTTTATAAAATAATAAAAAAAAAAAAATATTGGTATTTTAAATAATAATTTAAACAAAAAAGAAGTATATGTAGAATTGGTTTGTAATTCTTAAGATTACTTATTATAAAAATCTCAGATGTTAATCATTTTTAATACAGTATATTTCTCTTGATTAACAATCCAGTTTATTATAAAATGTTCTACGTAATTTAATCAAAATTGCCTAATGAATTAATTTCACACTTTTAACAAAGTAAAAGCTAATCAAGTATATGTTAAACAGTAGAAAGCAATTAAAATTGCTTTTGAGAATTTTGAAATGGAAAATATAATATTAGGATTTTTTGACCACTTGGCCTATTCAGTGCTATTAAAACTCATGAAATGGACAATGTAACCTTTTGTTATTATTAACCTTTTATTATTTATAAATGTATTATAGTATATAAAATGTATGAAATCACTAATAGACTTACTCATATTTAAAAATTTTAAATGTTTTTGTTTCATACTCACTAAAAGTGTAAATTATTAAATTTTACCCTTTAATAATTTAATTATTAAATTAAATTTTTAAACTTTTCTTTCATCTCAAAGATTTTACTGTAAAAGTTTTTTGTTTCAATATTATGTTGGCAAATAAGTCCTTTCGGTTTTTCTGTTTATTTTTATGTCACTATGATACACTTCTTATCTGATGAATTAATCCCTAAGGTGGATTGTTTATCCTGTTTGTAATATGTCAACAACTATATCTGTTAACTCTTGTTGAAACTAGCTTAGTATTGTGTTTGCTATTGCACTGTGAATATGGAAGAAATATCATTCATTATCGGCATATTTTGTTGTATTATTTTAAAAAAGGTAAGCGTGCTGCAGAAGCTCATAGAAAAATTTGCAGTGTTTATGGGGATGATGCCTTAACCGAACGCACCTGTCAAAATTGTTTGCCAAATTTCATTCAGGAAATTTTGACATCAATGATGCTCAACGGTCTGGTCGCCCACATGAAATTGAAACGAGCAATATTAAGGCCATTGTTGATCAAAATCCCACCCAATCAGTGCGAGAGATTGCTATGGCCCTAAATGTGTCGCACATAAGCGTAGAAAACCATTTGCACAAGCTCGGTTATGTTTCCACGCTTAATGTTTGGGTCCCTCACATGATTTTTTTTTTTTTATGATAAAAAAATGTCATAACTTCAATACGACTTTAGCTATAAACAAGAAATTTAGGAGGAATTTAGGGCCACATAAACTACACAAAATTACATCAACAGGACTTTCATAAACAAACTATAAATGGAGATAAAAAATAAAAACCAATAAGGAGTTTTTGTTTATTTATTCCTTATGTAGGCAATGTTATTATAAAAATGTTATAACTTCAATACAACTTTAGCTATCTACAAGAAATTTAGGAGGAATTTAAGGCCACATAAATTACACAAAATTACATCAACAGGACCTTCGTAAACAAACTATAAATGGAGATAAAAAATGAAAACCTATAAAGAGTTTTTGGTTATTTATTCCTTATATAGGCAATGTTATTATAAAAATGTTATAACTTCAATACGACTTTAGCTATCTACAAGAAATTTAGGGCCACATAAATTACACAAAATTACATCAACAGGACCTTCGTAAACAAACTATAAATGGAGATAAAAAATATAAACCTATAAAGAGTTTTTGGTTATTTATTTCTTATGTAGGCATTAAATAAAAAAACTATTCATATGGCTTTGAAGAGCAATAATTCAGCTTTCCAACGGATATAGTAACATCAAATTCGGAGAACATCCTGAAGAGTTATGAATGATCAGAATGGTTTTGTTTTCCATCAAGACAACGCTAGGCCCCACACCTTATTGGTCACTCGCAATAAATTATTGAGCTTTAAATGGGACCTTTTGCCCCACCCTCCCATCAGACCTAGCTCCAAGTGACTTCCACTTATTCCGATCTTTCCAGAACTCCATGAATAGAAAGAAATTCCAAAAGAAAGATGACATCAAAAACCACTTGGATCAGTTTTTTAACAATAAACTCCAGGCATTTTATAAACATATTAAATAATGGTCAATATATTGTAGATTAAAATAAATTTTATGTCTATAGTACATTGAGTTTTATTTCACCCTGAAAAAATGAAAGGACTTATTTGCCAACCCGATATATTTCTTTTTAATTGGAATGTAGGACACCGTGGAAGATCCATGGGAGCGGAAATCGTTTTCCCAAAATAAGCATTGAGAAAAACATTTGGGCTGTTTGAAATATATCTACTACTATTAGTACTTGAGAATAACTGTGAATAAATTATCGTAAATGTGTTTATTACTAAAACAAATAAATTGTTTCTTTTTATAATCACATTATCATTGTGAAGAAATGAAGTATAGTTTTTAATCATTTTGATAATTTTTGTTTGTTGTTCTCTTCCTTATGTACTCTAACATGCATGGAGCATGGGCTTTATGCCAGTTTCCAACCTATTGAAATAGAAGCATCCAGAATGGAAGATCAAAATTAGTTCTATAGTTGCAACAAAAAATAAATTTTAATTCTTCCAAATATTAATTGAAACCTTCTAAAAATTGTTAAGAACTATTATGATTGCTGAAAGAAATTCTGTTTCCCATATTCCCCATTAAACACTACCTAATCTATACAGAGAGACAAAACAAGTGGTTACCCGTTTCCAATTGTTTGTCTCGTCACTTATCCCAATCTGTTAATGAGATGAGAGAAAATTTTAACTTTTTAATCTTGACTGTCATAATTCTTATTATTTATTTATTGTCTACCTAAATATGTTCATTATGGGTGTGTATATATTAATTTGTGTATAAATATCATTTCAATGAAGTTAACTTTTCTTTTAGATACCCTCGACATAAAAAATGTATACATAAACTAATTGATCATGTTGAGGATTCCCGACAGTCTGTGCATACATGGATAAATATAATATATAGTCTTCAAGATGGTATTTATAAGGTGCTGTTATAATTTTGTGATATTTCCCACCAAATTGACTTTATTTTTATTGAATGTTAAATTAATTTTTGTACTTAAAAAATAAAATAAAGCTATAAAAATTGATTGGAGTATTTTTTTTTAGGAAAAATTTTTTTTTCTTATCTTGGTCTTATTTTTAATACCATTTTCATGTAATTTGAAGAATATTGATAGAGATAGCTGGATGACACCCCAAAGTATAGCTATTTCAGCTCTTCATTGGATTTTTATTACATTTAGAGCTACATTATTTAATTTGAATTATGAATTAAACAATACAAGGTTCAAGTTTACTCAGTAAAAATATTTATGAAATCACTAACATTTTATTTAAAACATCCTTATTTATTAAATATTTTTATTTTAAAACTAAAAAATTGAGATTGAAATATAAAATCAAAAATAATTTGTTTGATTGTTTTAATTTTCCAAAATTTTAGCACTAAAATATTCTTTAACAAATCAAAAGATGTTTCAAATATCTGGAAAATAAAAGTGTTTGGAAAGAACTTTGCATTCCACATTCTGTAATTGATTCAAGGTTGTGTTGCAGCCAGAGTTCTAGCATTGTCCTTTTTCCTATAGCAGAAATTCAAAAACTTGTTTTGGTGTGACACCCTTGTCAGACCAAAAGTTTTTTGGGATACCCTTGTTGGGCTTAATGTTTTTCACGTGCCCCTTATATGACGAAAACATTTAATAACACATTTATCCTTAAAGGGATATTATAAAAGAATTTTTACCCATTATTTTCTGTAATATACACAAACCAAATAATTTTTTTTCCAAATATTATCTATAGTGCAATGGGAGTGATGCGTTAGGAAGAAAACAGATATAAATAAAATTGAGTATTTATTACTGTTCTTATAATATGTAAATATATTGTTAGTAAACTGTACCAAAATATTAATTAAATCTGCTAAATCCTTTATGAACTTCCAGCATATAAAATTTCTCATTTTTGGATATGCCAATAACTAAATCAATTTTTTTTTAAATATACAAATTTGTTTTTAAATATGTTTACATGTTTTGAAGGAAATTGTTTATTTTTAAAATGTACAATGATTAAATAAAACTATTTAAATGGCAGTAAGCATTGTTTTTCAAGAAACTGCACATCTATAATTCCACATAATTCCAGAATTTCTGCTGTAAATTTTATCATGCTAGATGAATATTCTTTGGCATTGTTTCAAGAAGGTAATGAATACGTACAAATGAAAAACATGTTTATTTAAAAATAGAAGGTTATGTAATATCTGTAACAATAATATATAATTTTAAAAATACCAACTGAAATTGATAACAAAATTATTACTTTTTAAACTCACAATTACAAATTTAAATTATTTTACACTTTCATAATAGAATGTAGTTTATAACCCACACAAAATAAGATGATTTTTGGACATTGTTGGTATTCAAATAAAAATCATACTATATCAACATTAGAATTTTTTAAAATATATAGAAATCAAGATTACTTAAGTACATTCATTAAATTAAATTTTGTACAAATCAAAAGTTAATTTATAATAATACTACACTGAAGTCTTGGTGATACATTGGTCATATGTATCTTCCAAACATTTTTAAAATATATTATTTACACTAATTTATATGTACAGGTTACAATTTTTTCTATCTTAAATACAGAATCAAATGAAAACTTATGATATGGATTGTTTAAATTTGTTAGATCTATATTTCTTCTTATCTTATTTTTGAATATATTTGTGTAGTATATTTATATGTCTCAGAATATGAAATCAAAGGAAAGATACTTTAATATACTTAATATTAATTGACCAGATTTATCTAAAATGGTGTGTGCAGTTTGTATATTGGATTTTATGAATGAATAGAAATAAGAAGTGTAATCACTCCACCACTCAGGCTCAGTAAGTAGCAGATATGTGAAACTGTAGTACTGGTGACCACAAGCTTAACTGAAAGGTTTCAACTCAACATGTTGTTTATTTTTTACAAATGTATAATTTTTTAAATTAATTTAGTTGTATGTTTCTCTTTTACTACCAAAACAAAATGCCTAATTATTATGTGCTTGAATATAAGATATGGTATGATTCAATAAAAAGTGGATAAGTTCATTTATTACTCCCATGGGTCAATATATCTGTAGCAAAAAGTGATTTATTATCAATTCCAATTAAAAAAAAAAAAAAACCTCATGGGTCACAATGACTTTTTGGAGCATTTTATTATAATGTTTCACGTGTTGCCAAACCATCTTATTGGTGATTTTTATTGTTGTTAGAAATGAACAAAAGGCTCCTTCTCTAATAATATGCAAATTAAAAGTAAACAAATGTACCCATCCATTAATATCGAAGCTTGAGAACTTCAGATATAAGAATAAGTATTTTTTATAAAAAGGAAGTGGTTAATATAACGTTTTAAAATCTGAGGATACAACCAAAATGACATTAGATAGAGATTTAACACAATTCATATTCATTGTGTTAATATTAGCAATCGAAGCATTGAGTCTTATGGTATATAGCGCTTCTAGTGGCGAATCCATATAAACTCATGGAGTGGTCACACTTCTTGTATTTATTCATTATGATATTCAATGCTATGCTTTTTTTTTTTTCATTTTTCTTTTATTACTTTTAATAAAATATTTTAAATGATTTCATTATCCATATAAAAAGTATAAAAAGTTTTACAGTTAAAGATTATTTGTTTATTTAATGAAAACATTTAATAATAAAAATAATTATTGGAATATTATTTTTTTCAACTAAGCACCTTCAATAGATATCGCTTCATATAATTATGAATGTTTCTGTCTGAATTCAAGAAAAATTTGCAAATCTGACAATTTGTTTGACTTGTCTTTGATGAAAGAAACATATGAAGTGGAGAATACAAATATATAATTGAATATCATGAAGTATCAGTTAAAAAAAAATATAAAAAAATACTATAACTTGGAGAGTGAAGAAGAAATGAACAAAATATTAAGTAAACAGTGTATTTTGATTTTGTGCTTTTATTATGGTTCAAATTATGTTTCTGAACAATAAATTGATAAATAGGTAAAATGTATAGTATGGAAAATATAATATTTCTATTACTGACATATTTTAGCTAATTAAATTATTACAATAAGTCATCATAATATAATGTATAATTTATGAAATACCACATATATTTTCTCATCAACAAAGTTAAATAATGCCCCAAAATTTATAAGAAAATTGGAAATTATTTCAATGATTGTATAAAAACTATTTTACCACTAAAGGTACTAAAAACTAGTTATTAACCTATGATTAAAAATATATATTTTATTTATAAATATTTTTATAAAAAATTATAAAACCTGCATGATAAATTAGCAGCACCAAAACTTTTTAAACATACATTCTATGAACTACTTTATAATTATTCTATTCTGTGCAAATAAATTCATAAAGTTCACTTTTACTTAAAGTATTTGATCTCATATTTTACACATACACTAACTACACTTGCAAAAACAGTATAATATTTACATGTTGAGAGATAAATCTCAATTTACTTACTTAAATAGAACTTATTCAATACATATTTACACGCATTAACACATAGGTAAGAAAATATCACAAATTTCTTTTTTCAATTTAAATTTATAAATTATTATTATCTTACACTAATTAAGATTCTGTTAAGAAAGAAATACACAGAATATACTGGAAAATATACACAAAAGCAGATCACAATCACACTAATCCAATATTAAAAATCCTCACAGTATTTACAAGAATTCATGAATAATTATATCTGCCAATCAAGATTGCTAACTTCCCAATTGATTCACTTTGGTAAAAAAAAAAATGGACAAAATTAACACTTTTTTTTTTAGTTTTGTAAAAAAATTATGTTCTTCAGTATTTTCAACCACATATTCATATATTGTGTTATTGTTTAAAGTTATTTATCAATTGAGATATTTAGTTGGTATTGACAAGTTAAATATGAAGCTTTTTGGTTGCATGTTTGTTTGTTATATTTCAATTTATTTCATAAAAAATTATCAAATTACTCTAACCTTACGAATTCGTGATTGAAAATAAATTTTCAAAGTACACCAGACATATGTTGAAACAATATTTCTTATTTTTACATTATTGTCAAAGTTATTTGAAATATTTATTATACACTTATAGGGTAACCTTCCCTTACTTCAGTCAGACTTAATTTCACTTATTTTTACTTCTTAATTCCGGTTATATTCACATCAATATAATCAATAGCTATCGAAACCAGATAGAAACATCAAAACTTAATAATTACCACATTGATGTCTAGTTCACCAATCTAGTTTATATTTGATGTTGGCAAGAAAATATAATATATTATCTGTATATTATATATTGTATCGTATTATAATAGTAATATTTTTACTATCTTAACTTAATTAACTTTATTATATTTTTTAATTTGTTGAGTTTGAACTATCTGGTTTATCAATTTTTAATAATTTTAATATATATATGTTTACTCCTTTATAGTATGGAAGTTTTGTTTTTTCATATGACAAAAGTATAGACCAACCAAAATAAAATTCTTTCAAGATTTCATGGAATAAATTAATTTGCTGAACAAGATAAATATACATTGAAAACAAATAAAATGAGAAAGTATGTCAGTTTCAGTATGAAAGTACCCTTTCTTGGGTAATTATTTAATTTAAACTTGAGTACCAATTTGCAATTCTCTTTTTATGACCCTACATTCATGTTAAACATCCATAGGCATAGTTCAGGTCTAAAACTAAAAATATCTGATCTCTATGAGCACTTTTATTGCATATGGACTATAAGAAGGTTATCCATATGTTTAATATTAGAGTTGACAAAAATCATGATCACATATAAAAAATGTATTAGTTCTTTTAAGACAAGAAAACGTTATATGTTGAAAACTAAAAGTATATTTTAAATGCAAATGAATAATTCTAAACAAATTATTAAAAACAATTAATTATCTGAATCTGATTTATTTTTAGAGAATACAAATTATTTGTTTGTAATCAGAATTTTATATGAAATTATTTTGATAAATACTGTAAACCATTTATTAACAAACCCCAAACTCAAGGCATATATATTTTAAAAGGATTAAAAACAAATTTGATTTATTTTTGATTTTATAAATAGATTATCTTAATTCTTGTTATAAACAAAATACACCTTAACCTTATATTTAGTTTTGTAGTTCTAATTAAATACATATTTTTAATTAACACCTATACGAGAACAGTTAAGACATCACTAGAATTCTGTTTTTCTTCTTTTAACGTCCTTTGAACAGGAGTAACTACAGTCAAATTTATTCTTTTACAATCAAAATCTTTGTTTATATTTGCATCTGAACAAGAATTTTGAGACTTATATAACAGTATTTGACTTGAACTTGGTTTTTCATCACAAATCATTTCTAAAACGTCATTAGAAGATGTTGAAAGAGGTCTTACAACACTGACTCTTGAGGAAACTTCAGCAACACTTCCACCCTCTTCTTTTAAAGGGTTTGTGTAGCGACGAAGGTTTTCCTCATTTTGCAGATTGTTTGATTTTTCATCATCATGATTTCTGCTACAAGGATCTCTTTGATTAGCATACATTTTCTGTTTTTGCCAATACATTGTACCACACATAATACAGGCAACTAATACCAGCAATATAATTATGATAATAGATGTTCCCCAGTACAAATTTCTTCCTGAAACAGAAAAATAATGTATTATTAGTAAACAACAAAAAAGAGAAAATAATTATTATATATTAAAAAGGATAGTTATTTGAATTAATAAATTAATTTTTATGTATGTCTGGGACCACTGTTTTATAAAACTAAGAACATTATTGCTACTTTCAATTAATGATTTTTATTCTATAGATATGTATTTTTTTTAAAAAAATAATTATTTTTCAAATCTTCGAATCTTATCTACTCTTAAAAAAAAAAAAAAAAGATGTAAAATGGAGAGAAGTAACTCGATATTGGATTAAAACAAAATAAAACATTGATTCTAAAAGAAACAATGAAAAAAAAAAAGTGATAAAATATGACTAAATGATTCTAAAATAAAACACCAATTTTATTTTTTTTTAAGTAGTAGATTTTATCTTAGGAGTATCTATAAAATTAACTAATTATGAATTAGTAATTAAATAGTATTATTTATTTCAATTTTCCATAAATTAACATGAACCTTTTTATTTTTTAGTGAGATATATTAAGTCTACAAAAAATATTACAAATATATTTGTTCAAAAAAGAATTTGATATTAAATAACTTAAATTACCTTCTTCATGTTTTGATACTAAAGCGGTTTCTACATTTACTTCAACCACTGAAGTCAAAATTGTCAATGAATTTGTTTGCTTATGACTGATTAATTCACCTAAGACACGGACAGCTTCTTTTACTCCATCACCACCTTCTTCACCAGACCACTGATACAGTAATAAAAAAAAATGCCTGTTAAATAATTCATCTGTAGTATTTGCACCTTCATTAAAAATTGTATCAAAAACTTACCATAGTAACTTCTATTGTATCATTAGTTCCTGTTTTGATGTCACAAAGTATGATTACACCATGATGTGATGCATGTGTAGTAGCTAGTAATGATCGTAGTTCCCTGCAAACAGTTTCTGAACTGATTCCTTGAGGAAGTGTTTGTGTTGCAACAGTCAGTGATAAAAGGGCACAGGAACTACTCAAGGTTGCTTGGTTAGGCCAGCAGGTGTCTGGTGATCGCAATGGTGGAGGACCTACTAGTTTTCCACTTAGAAGAGCTCTGCATTCACCCCATCCTTCACATCCTCTTGAGATACACCTTTCTCTTACCCATGGTACACAAACCTAATAAACAAATTCATTAATTGGGAAATGTTTGAAAATCACAATGGTTCACTCAATTTGCATATTTAAGTAATACAGTGTTTTGAGAGTTAATAGACTATGAAAACCTAAATAAGTTTCTTGTGATAATTACTTTACTTCAGTTTAAATTAGCTTGGTTAAGAGCTAAAAGCTTGTTTATTCCTACATACCTCACTGTGGGAACAGGTAAAAGATCGTTGAAGGCAGTTGGGGAGTCCACACCAAACTTTAGTACAAGTAACAATATTGTCATGACAATGACATTGGTTGCAATCATCCTTCCAATGTGAATTGTTACTCAGATATTGGCCTTTCCATTCACAAACTCCACTTGTCAAGACACTTTCTTCTACTAAAAAAGTAAGTGAAATAATCTGTGTTAAGTTATTTATGACTAAAAAATGATATAGTAATTTAAAATGTTTCTCATCTCAAATCTAAATAAAAGCAATAGGAATACACCTAGTTTTATTATTTAATTACAAGTATATTATAAGAACAATGTTTTGTTTTTTTGAAATCTGAATCACATTACTTGATTATGTCTTATTTCATTGAAACAAGGGATTAACATATATCATCATGTATAGAAGTAGAAGGAAATATGGATATACCATTTCTAATTTTCATTATCAGAGGAAACAAGAGTATTTTTTAGATCATTGTGGATTAAATATATATTAAACTTTCAATATTAAACTTTCAAATGTTGTTAACACATTTTAGTGGTCTTATGTTCCAAAAATAAAAAGTTAAGTGGTTGGATTTTCAGTTAACAAAAATAAGGACTTTTATAGAGCAAAATATGGTTAGAACTGCAATTCTAAAGATAGGAAACTTCAGGTTTTTGAGAAATAATTTCTTCGGCGACTGTTAGGCACTGCAATTATTAGAGGAAAATGGTGGTATAAATAAGCAATGAAATTTATTATATATTCAGTGATGTAGATGTAAATAGTAAAATTAAATCAACTTCACTGGGTAGGTCATGTCACCAGAATGTATATATAATACATGGGATTCCTAAACTGCTGATGACAAAACTGTTTACAAACATAGAGTGGTCAGCAGACTAAGATTAAAATGGTGGGGTCACATAGAAAATGATACCACAAAAGAAGGAATCTGCAACCAAAGGTATGACAATTGGTTTTAAAAGAAGCTAATTCCTATGGGTGGTAGAACTATCATAAGAATAATAACATTCCATTCTTGAGCATAGTGCATGCATCAAAAATAAACTATTTACAATTTCAAAACTAAATAATTAAACTAAAAACTAAATAATTATACAACATAGACACAATGTATAGTTAATAGAATAAATAGTCTAAACATATAAAAGTTTAGGTATCTAGGGTCTACAATAACTAGAAAAAATGAAATTGAAGAGGAGGTTAAGGTTATATGAGGAATGCTTGTTATTTTTCTGTGATGAAATTACTTAGCTCACACCTCTTGTTTTGGAACTTAAAAACTAGAATATATAAAACTATTATATTACCTACAGTTCTTTATGGATGCAAAACATAGCAGCTTACATTAAGAGATCATCAACATCTTAAGGTTTTGGAAAAAAGAGGTATTGCATAAAATATTCGGACTGAAGAATGATGAGTTAACCAGAGAGTTCAGATGGTTACACAATGTTAAATTGTGTGAACTGTATCTGATTAATATAATTGAGGTGGTTACATTGTGGTGAATCAAATGGGCTTATAAAATTGTTGGGCTTAGTAATGAAAGTATTTCTAAAAGGTTAATATTTGCTGTACCGAATGGTAAATGTCTGAGGGGTAGACCGAAGCTAAGGTGGCAAGGCTTCGTTAAGCCAATCTAATGGGACTCGATTTGGACACTGAACGGTGGAGGGAGGTGTGTAATAGACGATTGGTGGTGTCGACATTGAACATTCAGGTTCCCTAAGCCTTTTATTATTATAGAATAGTCTATAACTGAGTTAGTGCCTCATAAATTCTTCTATACAATTACAAAAATGTCTTTGTAATAAATTCTTCAGTTCATAGTCTGTTAGTTATAGTCAAATATATTAATTAATTTTGTGTTGTTAATTTAATTAGTTAATTTAATACTGTATATTTTTATATTAGTTTTAAAAAATTGTCTATAATGAGTTATAAGTATGCTGTGTTTGTAGCAACCAATGTAATTGGACAGCACCCTTTTATGAAAATAAATCGATTCTCTCCATACAAAAATAAAGTGTTATAATCAATTTTTTCCCATTTCAAATCAAAAAATGTGGTATGCGCAACACAACTTTCAGTTACCGCTGTACTTTGGATAGAAATTATTACTGGCAGTGTTAGGCTATTATAAAATTTGTGAAGTGTGTTTTTAACTGAGCTGAAGCTTAAAGCTTACTGGCAACAAATTAATTTTTTTGTCTCCATTAAAATAACAAAAATTATATTTATTATATCAACGGTTGATTATGGATTGTATCGATCAGTTGGTTATGGATTGTACAACTATTAATTATTAAACTGTTATTTTTCATTGCAAATTTACTAAAATGGAATTATGATATTTGTATTGCCTGTCGTAGATAGGTCAATTGTTGTCACACTAATTGTAAGTGGATACTTTTGTGATATCAAAAAGGAAAATTATTCACTAATTTAATTTTATAAAAGTTCACATGATGATTTTTTGGAATAAATGGACGATAGATTCATAATTATTTAAATATAATATCAGATCTAGAGTTATTAAGGTACAGTAAATGTATTTAAGGTTACAAACATCTCTATGAAATATTTTTATATTTCACTTTTTCTTTCATACAAGTACAATGAAATAATATTTTAAACAACCCAAACATCTAATATTTACTCTTCGAAAAAATACCCGTTCTCCAGTTTTTATTTACAACTAAATTCCTCAAGCAGACACTGTACTTTATTTTGGACTTACCTTTGATAGAAGGAAGGCATGGGGCCCGCACGTGAAATTAAAACGTGTAGCACTTAACAAACAATTCAAACTACTCTACCCTCTTTTTTGTAAATTATTAAAATTGAACCTGATACAGAAACTGAACACATATACATATACTTACTTAAACCCATTTGGACATACTCATCATAGATATATGGTATTGCTAAAAAGACCCACCTACAAAAACTTCAAACCTTCCTATCAAAATTATTATGACTCATAACAAAAGCACCGTGGTACGTGACTAACAAAACTCTACATACTGACCTCCACCTTCCAACAGTGAGCCAACACATAACGACCCACTACCAACAATTTTATACAAATTTAAACGGACATTACAACAAATTAATAAGAGACAGGGCAACAACTGACATATCCCTGGATATGAGGAGGAGACTAAAAATGCGTTGGATGAGAGAATACTTTTCTTAGACAACCTAAGTAATTGAAGCAAGTCAATTAATATATATAGTAAGAGAAAGTATTGTGATCGTGACAATTTTCGAATCTATTTTCAACAGAAATGCATGTTTTGAGCTCTCCTGAGTCCATAAGCAAGTTCCCCAAAATGGTCTGTGTGTGTGAACAGTCTAGCACAAAAACGAATAGTTGTATAATACTAAAAATGCATATTTAAGTTAATAATAAGCCTGGGATGTTACAGCAACTTTTTCGTCAAAATTTACTTACGGAAGTGCCACTTTATATTAATGATTTTACACATTTTACAATTTTCTCAAAAACGGCTTAAATGACTTTGATTAGACTTGGTGTATCAATGTATAATAAAGTAATTTTTAATACCATTTAGGTCTTACCCCTATTTATGTCACTTAACAGGGCTCAAATGCCCAATATTATAAATGTCTTTCTCTAAAGTACCTTTAATTTGGTTTATTTTAAATAATTAACTAACTCTCATTAACTCTCATTCTTAGGAGTTATGAAAAAAGGCTAAATATAACTTTTGAAAGAATTTGGTAACTGAGTAAAGCAGAAAAAAAGAAAAATGCTAATCTAGGTCAAAAAATGAATCTCTGAAAATAATAGTCGGAAGGTATATGTATAATATATCATTGGAAAGCGGAGAATTTCAGAAAAAAATAATATCTAACAAATAAAGTTGTAGATGTTAACAGAGAGTGACAAAAATATAAATAATAATTTCTGAAAACTAACATTATTTAACGTAAATCACCTGTTTTCTAGGAAATTAAAGGAAATTTTCTTACTAAATGTAAACTTTAAAGTTTTTTTTTTGGAATTTTGAAGTTTGAAAAAAAGTATTTAAAATCCACGGAATCAAGGCAATGTAAGATACTATTTCATTGTACTTGTGTGAAAGAAGAAGTGAAATATAATATATATATATATATATATATATATATATATATATGTATAGGTAAGTGAAAGTTAAAATATTTTATTTATTGTAAACAACTTTTATATCCAAAAAATATTGATGTAGGTTTATATTTGATTTATATGGACAGACTTTAATTGTTTGATTGAAAATATGAAAAGTAAATAAAGTTACTAGTCATTAAGTTATTTCAAAATGATTTTATTGAGAATTAATTTGATATTTTTAGTTAATAAAAGTACCTTGCTGACATGTTGATCCTGTTCTACCAGGCGGACAAAGACAGGTGAATGATGCAATGTTATCAACGCAAGTGGCACCAAAACCACATGGATTTGAAGAACATTCATTAATGTTGATTCGACAGTCAGGTCCAGCGAATCCAGGAGCACATTCACAGAGAAACCAATTGACACCATCACTACATTTACCTCCATTGTAACAAGGAGAAGATGAACAATCATTTATATCTCTTTCACAATGAGTTCCTTCATAGCCTTCTTGACATATACATTTATATGTTGTTCCAGTATTTACACACGTTCCACCATTTTCACATGGATTAGGTTTGCAGGCATTTATCCTTGCTGTAATAGCATACAAATTATGGAATTACTTTTTACATGAATTTCTTATAGTAAAATATAATTTTATACATAGAAACATTTATATATTCTATGTATCTATACAAGTAATACGTAGAAAACATTTATATATTCTATTCCTTTATACAAGTACTAGATAGAAAATTAAGAATAACATCAGTCTCTGATAATGAATAACTCATAATGATGATTATGATTTGGTACATTTTTATTTGTATAATGTGTTATGATAACCAAGTTTATTAAAATAATATTTTGAATATATTTATAAGAAGTATATAATCTAAAATTAATAAAGTAATGAAAGAATGTAATATTTCACAATAAAGAAGATTTACTATTGAAAAAAAAAATTATGATAGACCAAGTGTAAACAAATTATGAGCTTCAATGAACCCAATTTTTATTTCACTGAATATGTAATTAGTAAAGTATATTTGATATGAGTACAGTAAAAATAAAACATAGCAAGCTGCTAGATTATTGTAATATCTCAGATAATAAAATAATACCTATAGTCCCAATAACTTATGGATTAAATTTGAAGGTTACATTTATCCTTAAAATATTTGGTTGATATTAAAGAATTTATTTCCAACTTTTTCAATCTATCAGTAATATATATATTTTATATGTACATGATGTTAACCCTATGACTAAACAAATAATAATTTCTGTAACCTGAAATATAAAATATTTGTAAAGTTTTAAATTAAATATATTTACCTAGGTGACATACAGAACCTTCCCAATGAGGAGGACATGAGCAAAGAAATGTGTCACCTAAGTCTTGACATGTTCCTCCATTCAAGCAAGTTGTACTGTCACAATGACCGTTGCGGAGAGAACAAGTTTTACCTTTCCATCCGCTTTGACATTCACACAAGAAGTCTGCTTCCAAGTCTTTACAAGTTCCATTATTGTGACAAGGGGTATTTACACAGTCATCAATATCTACAAATTTTAATTTATTGCTTTATAAACAGACATTCAATGGTAAATAATAGCTATTTTGATATGATTTTAATGTCATTGGTAATAATAATAAATTATATCCACAAATAAAAAATAAAGCTGGTCATAAAACAAAAGTGAGAACTTACTAATGGAACAAATTTCACCCTCCCATCCTTCTCTACAGATACATTGAAATGAATTTATTTTATCAACACAGGTTCCTCCATTTTGACATGGATTTTGCTTGCAGTCATTGATATCTAAAAGTGAAATATATAATATGTTATATACATTGGAAAAGTTATTGAAAATAAATTTAATTAAAATTAAATCTGGTAAGATATGATATGTATTGTTAATCAATGATAAACATACAATTTTATATTAACAATATATATAGTTAATATTGAGGTTGAATCAGTGGCTTCAAAATTGAAAAAATAATTAAAGGTGAAGATTATTTCTTCATTTAGCCCAAATCATGAATTAAAAATGGAGTATTACATTGTAATACCTCTCCAAACTTTGAGAATTTGAATTTTTTTCGATCTCTGCCAGAACTTTTGAACGTTTTAATAATGAAATGGTTGATTCTGAACTTGTCGTAACTTCATATTTTTTTTCCACATTTTTATTTTACTTCCCGCTCTTTTCATTTTTTATTAAGTCAAATGTTCACAATAAGCTAGATAAAGTTAAGATGGAAATTTCATTTTGTGTTACAGAAAATATTAAGAAAATCTCACTCATGTGTGTGTTGAAATTGCTTTTTCTTAAACAAATTTTTCCCTGAATATGAATCAATTATCCTCCTTTCTTAGTGAAACAATAAAATAAATGTACTTTTTAATCATTACCTAATTTTATGAACGAAAAAAAAGGACTATGGAAGGTTGACTAACTAACCATTTTTTGAGGACTACTAAATTTTATATATGTTTAATTGTGATTTTTTGTTCGATATATATATCTTATATATATATATAAATTCCATTTGATATAAAGAATATTTTTCTTTAATTAAAATTCAATGTTCTTAAAAAAAGCTCAGTATATATAGAGATGTTTGATAAATAGTAGTTTGGTATTCAGAGGTTCGACTGCATAAATAATATGTTGCACATTAGTCTGATGTCAGATTTGAGTACAACAATGAAATAATAGAAACTTGTTTGTTATCTATATGAGATCCATGAAATAAATAAATAAAAAAAGTTATTTACTTTCATGACAAAATTTTCCTGCATATCCTGGATCACAAGAACATTTGAATCCTCCAGCAGGAAGACTGAAACAGTGACCATGGTCACCACAAATGCCAGATGGTACTAGAATTGTACTACCAGTTATATTTGATGGTATAGCAACACTGCAATTATCCATGACTAAAAAATAAAATAATGTAATAACATATTTTAATAATATCTAAAGTATATTTTGTATTGTAATATAGTTCATAAATACATACATACTTACATACATACATGCACACACATACTATATATATATATATATATATATATATATATATATATATATTATAGTGAATTATTGAAGGAAGTTAGTTGACTATACTACATATAACAGGAGATAAATAATGATAAAGCAGTCATTTTAGAGATTTCTTATTGTTGCCAATGTTTCAACCCAAACATGTGGGTCATCATCAGGGCTGATGCAATTTTTTAATAACATCATATATATAATACATAAAACAGAAAATAGTAGTGGTAAATAACACCGATGCATCCAGGATTTAATTTTGGTGAGGGCTTCAACCATAAAACTTTTTTTTATATACATAATGATAGTTACTTTGGAACAAAAAGAAAGGAACTTATGAAATGGTGTACTAGTGATTCTTGAAGTCCTATTAAATGTAATTACACGGGTAACAATACTTTTAGAGATAATTTTTTAATATTTTTTCATAAGAAATGGTTATATTTTAAGATTTTGGAGGGAGGGGGAGGAGACTTCAGCCCGAAAGCCCCTCCCCCTCCAGTAGAACCATCTATGGTAAATAGTAATGGATGATACATGAGATAGCAAGTGGAATACTTAATACTAAGTTATGCAGACTGTAACATAATATACATAATCAACTTATAAAATGTGATATTTAATATTACTAACCATGTTTGCAGTACTTAAGGTGTTCAAGTACTGGCACCTAGGTGTAGGTAAGTGGAATGGTCTGGGGAGGATATTGGATAATATATTTTACTATGTATCACGTTTATTTATCATAATAGATTGTATTGTAAATGGTTATTATCAATCAATGTACAAAATTATTTGTTAAAATATTGTATGTCATATCTGCTCTCTTATTTATTATCATTTCATTTTAAACCAATAGTTATAATTTGTTAACAATAAGAAATAACTTAGCTGTTGTATAGATGTTAATATGAATATTTTATTTATCCATAGAATTGTATCCCATGTTATATTATATTCCCTATAATGTTACTGGAATCTTCTGACTATGTTGCCGCTAAGTTTGTCTTAAAAAGCACAGTTGGGAAAATTCCTGCCCGGACCCTACTTACCTACTACCTAGGTGCCAGTACTTGAACACCTTCAGTACAGCAAACATGGTTAGTAATAATAAATATCACATTTTATAAGTTTATTATGTTATAGTCTGTATAACGTAGTGTTAAGTATTCCACTTGCTATCTCATGTATCATCTATCATTATTTACTACTACTATTTTCTGTTTTTATATTATATCTTTGGTGTTATTAAAAAATTGTTTCATCCCCGATGAAGATCCACATGTTTGATTTGAAACATCAGCAACAATAAAAAATCTCAAAAATGATCACTTTCTGATTATTTATCTCCTTTGATATATATTATACACCATTGGTCTTAATGTATAACTCTGTGAACATCAAATCCCAACTTTTCAGGAAGGACCAAAAAATGTTTAAAAAATAAAATTTTCAAATAGAAGACTTGAGCAATGATCACTATACACAAATTTCATGAAGATCTTTTTTCAACTTACTACCTTATTCCCTGTGGTGGTAGAATTTTTTCTTTGATTGACCAGGCCTGATGAAGGCCCGAACTTTGGGCTGAAACGTCGGAAAATATAAAAATAAATATAATTATTTCTGCTATTTTTTATTTTTACTGATCACCCCAATCATCCTTCTCTTCAATTATTCACTATAGTCAACCATCAATCCACAGTTAGAATATAATATAATATAAAACCATTATTAATATTTTTATTACCAAAACATGGAGGATGAGAACATTGAACTTTGGGCAATGAACAATTTTTTCCTTGCCAGTCTTGAGAACAATGACAGTAGTAATCAACAGGAGTATTAAAACATGGGGCACCATTTTCACAGGGATTGGGAGTACAATGGTCATGGTCAATCTAAAAATGAAAAGAAATTAACAATGTATTTCAAGCTATAAAATTGTAAGGAATTAAAATAACCAAGACTTAACCTTACCTCACATAAATCTCCAGTAAATTCAACAGGACAAATACAACGGAAACTGTTAATTTGATCCACACACTCACCTCCATTGATACAAGGATTACTTTGACATTCATCTATATCAGTTACACAATCTCTTCCTGGAAGTCATTTTCAATTTATCATTAATTTTATTTATTAAGATGCAGTAACAGATTCTATTTGGCAAAACATATTTTAAGTGATAAGATAATTTATAACTGATATTTATATGTCACATGAGGGTATTAATGCTATTCATACTTAAAAAAAAAGTATATTCGATGTTAATGAAACAATCTAGATAACGATAATTTCAATTATTAAAATTTATTTTAAAGAAGCATCTAAAAATATAATAAAATATAACAACTTGAAATGTGATCATTTATTTATAAATGATCACATCTCAGTTCAAAATACTTCCATTATAGAAATAAAAAAAAAAAGAAGAAAGCTGGTTACAAATAAGCAAGCATTATCACCTGTGAATCCTGGTTGACAAGCGCAATGATAGTCATTTACTAAATCAATGCATGTTGCTCCATTTTGACACTGACCGGTACAATCATTTATATTTGTTGTACAATTCTTTCCAGACCATCCTTTGTGGCATTTACATAAATAATCTCCAGCAAGATTTTGGCAAGAGTGAGCATTTACACAAATATTTTGAAGACATTCATCAACATCTGGTTAAAAGAAGAAAATAAAAGTGTTATTAATACTAATTACTTATAACTAAAAGCATTGAGTGATTAACTAATAATTACTAATACTATGCATAGGATTATAATGATATCCTTTTACTTAGTTATACATTAAATATTAAAGGCAATCACCCTTGAATTTTTAAAGACCATTACTTGAAAGATAAATAAAATACTTAAAAAATAATTGTTGCTATTTAATGTTCTTGATCTATTTATATAATGTATTTTCAAGTTATTTAAAATTCAAAATTTACATTTTTTTATAGTATTTAACATTTATTTAGATCTTCCCTGGTATGAAGTCATACTACCCCCCAATAGAATTTAGGTTTAATTGTTTATCTTGTTACACATTCACACTTACTCATTGACACACACTCACATACAGAACGTTTAACCATGGTAGTTTTGATACAACTAAGCTAAATAATAAGCCTTACCATACTGACAATTGTATCCTTCCCATCCAGATGGACACAAACATTTATATCCATTCACTAGGTCCACGCAAGTGGCCCCGTTTTGACATGGAACTGAAGCACACTCATCTATGTCTAAAAAAAAAAATAATATTACTTAAAGATAAAAATATAATTCTTAAATTTATTATTATTAAAAACTAAATAAAGAATGTTTTTGTTTTCGATTGACGCTATAGATCATTTGGAACCTCGGCCGCGTGACGTTTTCCACTTACAGATGTATGTTACTAGCGTACGTCACTTGTTTTATATAGATTTTTTTTTTATCCTTGGCAGTCATTTCCGAAATTTTTAGGTTAAGATAATTTAAAGATCTTGGTGTCCTTACGGGCACCTTTGCTATCGAGGGCCGTACGCGGCTGATTAGTCTGCTTACCACTTTATCTGCCTCAGTTCCAGACGGTGATAGATTGTGGAATAAAGGAACCTATAACAACGATGTGTGTTGAAAATTCGGTAAAGGTGGGATCCAAAAAATGCTGTCAGATGGAGGGAGGGAAAGTGTTACCGCGCTCTTTGAGACGAACCCTGGTGTCTGAAACCTCGTACATCCTTATACGCTTGCTCAATGAAAATTCGTACTATTTTAGTCTCAATGTTTTTGTTCTTCTTAGATAAATTATGTCCGATCTTTGCTTATTTGTTCAATTAATATATTTTAAAACCTTTTCAAATTATTTTTTTTAATCAATTTATTTTAGCCAAATAAACTTTTTAAAGGATTCAATATTTCTATCATTATTAAAAATGGAAGTTCGAAACTAGGCAAAATATTATTGAAATTAATAAAAATGAACAAATATTAAAACTATTTTTTAAAAATGAAAAACTATTTTCTAAAACTATTTTTATTTATCTAGATAATCATTATATATATATATATATATATATATATATATATATATATATATATATATATATATATATATATATATATATATGTATATACATGAAGGAATATGTTTTATGAAGGAAATGACAATAATACTCCAATGAAAGTAGATATGATTGCAATTTATTTTTCTATAAGTCAACAAATGTTAAGTATTTAGTATTAATATAAATAATAAAGCAATGAAAATAATCGTGAACCAAAACTAAAGTTTATTCATAAATATATAACTTTGCGTACGTAAGAAAAAATGATGTATGATGTATGAGTCGACTCTCGTACCTCTTACCATAGGTTAAAACTTCGTAAAAATATTAGGATCCTCGCACGAACGGCAACACGGGGAGGGGACGCACGGTTGTGGGTGAGAAGCTGTCATCTCAATATTAAGATGGAAAAGATGAGAACGACTCGAGGGTACTAGTAGTCCCGAGCAGCAGCAGAGTCGAATTTTTTTTAGCTTAGGTAACAGATATAGAGTTCTGATTAAAATATCTATTACTTGGTGTGTGAAAAATAAAGATACTGTTTCGCTGGTACCATCCATATTTTAAAAATAAAAAGACAATTTTCGAAACCACTTTAATTACGACGTTACTCATCCCATTTCTATTTGTGCAACTATATGCTTTAATCTGAAATATATAAATTTATAATTACTAACGGTGCAGTGGACTATATTTTGGCTGTTTACATGGGATAGGAAAACAGGAGGCGTCTGGTGAAGTGGTAATAGTCATGGATAAGCGACAGATCGGTCTAGAAGAAAGGGGTGACAGAAGAGTAAAATATTTTTTAGGCTGGTTAGTAGGTAGGCCCCACCCCCAGGTAGCAAGGCCCTGTCCAAGGCAAGGAATCCAATTAATTTAAAGCCGAGTAGAAATAATAGGGTTGGGCTAGGGAGGCCGCCTCCTTGATTAGGTTTTATTAGGAGGCCGGACAGAGTCGTGATAGACCACTCCTCCGCGGCGGGAGACAGGCAGATTATATCCTCCCCTCTTCCTTAATGGATATTTGCTTCAGCCTTAATTACAGATACAGATCCACTCTTCCACTTTGTTATTATTATTGACTTATGCACTGTCGATAAAACTCTACTTGCAAAGTGCTTTCTACCAGCCACCGTTAACCTGAGTCGTTCCCAAACGAAAGGAACAGCGTGGATGAATAACCAAAGTGGAATATTACAATTCCATAAGGAAATCAGAATTGGGAGAAGGGATGGTATAAATGACATGGATGTTTTTATTAAAGATATTATTGTATTGAGTTCTATTTAAAAAAAAACAAAACAAAAAAAACATGAATTATTGTAATGGAAATATATAAATTAATTTTCAAAGGTTAAATTTATTTTTTTCCATTACCTGGAATGTATTATAATAAACATTAATTCATCAATACACTTTATATTTAATATTTAAAATCAATTAAAAATAATGATTTTTCTAATATTCATCATCTGAAGAGATGATAATACTGTGTGTTTTTTTTTATTAAGATCTATATTACAGAAATTTATCGGTATTTATTAGTGACCAACCAAATGTTCCCAACCCTATTATTCACGTTTTCCCGAAAATAATTGCAGCAATTACCAAATTTCATGACTTCACATGTAAATATTAGCTCATAAGCAACCTATGGTTGGTCACTTATAAACACCGTTCAATTTCTATAATAGAGATCTGAATAAAAAACACAGTTTTATTATAACTTTAGATGATAAATATTAGTGAAATCATTATTTTAAACATTTTTTTAAAATAAATAAAAAGTGTATTTATGTTTATTATAATACTTCCTAGGTAATAGAAAAAAAAATATGCTTTGCAATAATTTATTGTAGATATTTTTGCTGAAAACACGGGTACTTTAAGGTGACAGGATATGAAAACACCTCATTTTTTTACTCATCTTGAGGTGAATCTCAAGTTTTTCCGAAATAAAGCTCAACTTAATTAATATGACCATAGAGCTTATTAAACAAGAAAGTTTTTTTAATAGTTGGGTATCTGTAGTATAGTCGGAGAGTGATAAAAAAAAGTCGGTAATAAATCATGATTTTTCTTAAAAAACAGAGCATAACTTAGTTTATCCGCTCAAAAATACTCTTTGAATGGTTTCACCAATGAAAAACTCCACTTTCATTTGAAATAAATTGTGTCTAGTTTACTGTGAAGCTATTGATAATTTCTCAAATTTAGCAATTTTATAGTTATCATAGGAAATAGGAATATTGAACAAAAGAACTTACTAAAAAAGAGACAAAACTTCAATTTCCCACTTTTCTGTGGAAAATCTAACGATTGTTTGTGTAAACTTTTTTGTAGCACTTGAGATCAACTATCACCCGTTTAGTCATTCCCTCTGCTTACTGGAAACTCTGCATTTTAAACATTGACACATTTTGAGGACCTTCCTTGCTTAACTCCTTCCTCCCCACCGAACAGCTGCCTTAGACAAATCCTCCCTAACCCGAGCTGCCTCCTTCTAGAACTCTATCCCACCAGTCATCCTAAGCTATGCTTAAACGGTTTCCTCTTTCAAATTTCTCTTCTTCAACCACCTTTTCTTCGACCAGTTTAATTAATATTATTTTTACTTTCACTTACGTATATATGTAATATATAGTAAGTGTAAGTATTGCGATCGAGAAAATTTTTGAATCTGAGTTTTCAACGGAAATAGACGTTTTGAGGTATCCTGAGTCGAAATGACCAAGTCCCGAAAAATGGTCTGTGTGTCTGTGTGTTTGTATGTTAGCAGTCTTGCTCAAAAACGAAAAGTCCTACGAAACTGATATTACGTATTTAAGATAGGTATATGCCTTAGATGTGACGGCAACTTTTTCCTTAAAATCGGCTAACCAGAAGTGCCACTTTATATCAACGCTGAAAGACATTTTCACAATTTTCTCAACAACGGCTCTAACGATTTTGATTAAACTCGGTGTATCATTGTATAATTAAGTGGTCTTTAATATCAGTTAGGTCTTATCCCCATTGATGTCACTTTACAGGGCTTAAATGCCCAATGTTCATATACGTCTTCCTCTAAAGTACCTTAAATATGGTTTATTTTAAAAAGTTAATCATTTCACATTATTCAAAGTAATGAAAAAATGCTAAATACAACTTTTGAAAGAATTTGATAAGTTAGTAAAGGAGAAAAAAAAATGCAGAAAAACCTGCGTTGCTATAGACTGTAACGCCTAAACGGATGTACCGATTTCAATGAAACTTCGCTAAAATCATTTTCTCAACACCCTTTAAATTTATCTATATTACATACTTCAACGAAAAGAAGCTCGAAAAAAAGTTACGAGGGAGAGTAAAATTAAATTCCGAATAACTAAAAAAGTATACGCTTTTTTGGGGATATTGTATATGGTTTTTTAAAGGTTTATGGAATTTCCTAAAAAAAACAAAGACAAAAAAAAAAATCGTTAAGATCGGACAACTAGGAGGGAAGATATGGTCTCAAGTTTTTCCCCCTGAAATATATACTATTTTAATTGTTATTGTTGAGACTAGTTGAGATTGGAGTTAGTCATTCCGAAGTTTATAAAAGCAAAGAAAGTTGTGTGGTTTATAAAAGCAGATGAAGTGACTAGATTTTTATTGCCTGTTGTCGATATATTAAATAGACATTTTGTAATTATAATGGTCTTAATGAATTGTTATCTGTAACCTTTAAGCTTTAGCTCCGTTTAAAATGCACTTTTACTTTTTCCGACATTTCAAATGTTTCCCAGAGTTCATTTTTCACATACTGATTATTATTATAATCTTTTTCATTTGTTTATTTATTTAATGCAATTTTGTTGTTTCAATTATTGTATAGTTTTTCTTATCCTCGAGGCATTCTTTTCACTTATTTTTTTATTTATATTAATGAGTATGAGCATAGTGTTCTGGCCACTATATACTGTTACATTAATTTTTATTGTTAAGGTGGGTACTTATTTAATAGCGGGTAGCGTCAAAACCTCCGTTCTTATCTAATCTCATATCACATAACCTCCCTTATCAAACCTAAGTTATTCCCTTGTTTATTTTTTGTTTCTTGTGTTAGCTGTGGGTTAGTGTTATTTAATTATGGATGTTGTCATATTGTGGGAATTGCCGTCTTCAGAAGAGTAGGCTATAAAATATTTTCAAGACGCCGAGATATTAGGAAAGGTGAAATATTGTGATGAAGGTCATGAAATGAAGTTCGATGGGAAGATTAAATGGAGATGCTTTCATACTTGTAACAAAACCGTTTCTATAAGGAACGGAACATGGTTAGAGGGGTCGAGGATTTCTTTTTTAACGGCTTTAAAATTCATTTATGGGTGGTCAAACTAGCAGCTCAAACTATCCAACGCAACTATCGTAACATGGAACAAATTTTTAAGAGAAGTTTGTGCCTATGACATTTTTGCCTATTTTTATTATTTCATTTATTTCGATATATATGTTGCAATGTTTTCGTATTGCAATAATAATAATAATAAAATAATAAAAAAGTATTTTTTTATTATTACATTTGTTTTTATTTTTGTTCACAATTTCAATAATACCAATACAATACAATAAATATGAATACGAAGATATAATAATATGAATATAATACAATAAATATGAATACAAGAGCTTATCAGTGTTAAGGTTATAAACATTGGCAGATAGCAGTCGGACGCTACCCGCTATTAAATAAGTACCGGATTTTGTCCCAGAATAATAAAGTAATTTTTCATTTCATTTTCATATCATAAAAAGCCTAGTACCTCGAACCTACAGGAAGGATTTCCATGGACGCTAACAGAACGTTACGGCATTGATTATTGTTATGGCCATCGGATCCTACAATCGGAGATTCCGGGATAACTGTTACGAAATCTCAGGTAAGTGTTTACAATTTTCTGGACACCTGAAGGGAGATGGGGATATGGTAGGAGCTATATGAGGAATCTGACTCTGTGCCAGGCCAACGAGTATAATTGCCGGCTTATTTGATTACACCCCGACGAGGGAGCGGGTTTTCTCCGAGAGCTGGCTAATAACCAGTCGTGAGCTAGCTAACTTATTATTATACAACTTGACCCTTCCTAGCCCCGATCCTCGCCCTCCCTTCAGCAGCCCCATTGTCTTCGCCCGTCCTCCAGGCTCCCTCCTAGGATATATTACCCCACATCTTCAACTTCATCCCTGCAAATGTTTCCGGTAGTTATCGGACCGAGGTTGTATGCCTATTTGTCACTTTTGGCACGACTAAAAAATTACAGGCATTCTTCAACTGGCCATAAGGCAATCCGCCAAACCTTTCTCATATGAAATTTGAATCTTAATTAAAGAGTTCGAAAAACTGCAAAAAAAAAAATTCAACTGCCCTCTCACAACATAGTATATTATATTAAAGAACAGTTTTTATTTCAATAATACAAAAATTATAAACATTGTACTACATACAAAAAAAAAGAAAAACAGAAGAGGCAATTCACATCACAAAAAATATAGAAAAAAAACAATAAACTATAAAACTGATAAAAAAATTTAAATAACCACTATGCTCATATCATAAATAAATCTAAAAAAAAGATAAAAAAATAATATTCAGAAGCAGAACCAAACAAATTCATCGTTGATAGAAAAAAAGTATTATAACAAAGTCCACCTATAAAACCAGGAATGTGATGATAAAAATTGACCAAGTGTTGTATGAAATTGAAAAAAAGGCAAATGTTAATAACATGTTCTAGACGAATAAATAGATTTTAAAGAAATATGTGTAAATATAGGAAACAATTGTAACGAATATTAATAACCTTGTGATGTTCAAACAGTGAAAAGAAATGTCTCTGAAGATGAAGAAGGAGTCCGAAATGTTGGATAGAAGAATAAATTAACATAAATGGAAGAGAAAATTCTTCATACTTTATACCTAAAATAATAATAATAATAAATACAGCGTCTCCTCAAGACCACACCATAGAATTGAAAACACCAACAAATACACGTTTTTTCCTATATTCATAAATTAATAACATCTACAATATAAATAATTATAATTGTGTATAAACCATGGCTTGAATCGGAAAAAAAAAAATATTTTTAAAACGTTTCGGCATCATCGGAATTTTTAGTGTCGATAGTTTTTCAGTTATTTTGAAATTAGAACTTTTTTAGTTGAACCTTTTCAAGTGTAGGTTTTTCAGAACTTTTGTTTTTAAAAAAACATTTATTTAAAATTTCTCTCGATTTCGCTGAAAAGCCGATCTAAAAAAGTATCCATATTCATAGTTACTCAAAAAAATGACACATTAGAATCATGTTTAATGATTATTTAAAACAAATTGTAACTCCAATCTAAACCAAATTATTGTTTATTTATCATTTAACAGATTTTTTAAAAGAATTTCAACATATATAAAAGTTAAACTTTTACTATAAACCGGGAACTTTACTACAAAATAGTTTATTAGAACTTTAATTTTTTACAGCGTTTTGCTAAAATTTTCAAAGAAACTTTTAAAAATGTTCCATTAAAGTTTCAACCCCTAGTATGAATTATTTTTGTTCTATATTTTGTATAGATATTTATACATTTGTATACAATGAGACGTCAATTAATATAAGACAATTATGTAGGATTGGTACTTTTTTTATAAATAAAACTTCTGTAATAGGGGTCAGCAATTTGTCGAGTACTATCGAGTGCAACAGCAAATCGAATTGAAAAACTTAATTTCTTATTTTTACGGTTAATTGATTATTGGTTAATTGGTTAATTGATTTTTTTATTTATATTGATTTCTGAATTCTCCATGGTATTTAAATTTGGTGACATTTTATTCCAAATGTGTAAACCAGTCGTTATTATTAGGTATTTTGTGCTATATTTTTCCCTTTTCTTCTCTCACGTCAATATACAATTTTGAGTTTTAGTTCATTACAAAGAGGATGAAATACTGAAAATTTCCCTCGATCACAGTGTGCAGATCCGAACTTTAGTTTTTGAGATATTTCAATCCAAATGCAAAAATTAGTCGACTCGAGCCGACCTTAGCCGAATGAGCGTTACATAGCCGAGCGTGACTGCTCAGTCTCATTCAACACCCACAAAATAAAGTGCTAAGCGCGCCTAAATAAGTTTTCACTTAAAAAAGGTATAACATACAATTCCTAGTTCATGGTGAATATAAATTATTACAAACCATATAATATAGCGGCATATTTTTTAAAAATTAAGATTTCTATGTTCAAGCGGGACAGGTACATGAGGGAATTCGAGAACAATCATTTAACAATGATGATTGCCACCTCGCCGTTATAAATATTTTTCAGTTTATTCGACATACATTTGAAATTTTTATTTTTAGGGCTCGTAACAGTAAAAAACGTTAAATTTTTTCCTATTCAGTTAAACATAATGTTACGGATCCAAAAACTAAAAAGAAAACTTTCAAGCGTTTATTCATTAAACTGTAAAATATCTAAAACGGCAAGGTTGCAATCATGATTGCTAAATGATAGTTATCGGATTCCAAAATCTAGCTTCCTCACTTGAACACTAAAGTTATAATTTTTAAATTTAAAAATATGTCATTATTTTTATATGGTTTGTAGTAATTAACCAGCAGTCATGGACTTGGTATTGTACGTTATATATTATTATTAGTTTTTTCAGTTTTACAATGCTTTAAACTCATTACTGTTCAAGTCTTGAAATATACAGTTAGGGAAAAAAATAAAATTAAAATTTATGAGCTGTGCATATAAACGGATATACTGGTAAACATTTTAGCCAACGAAAATAAATTTCAAAGAATTATTTATTAATAGTGAGATTAATTACGATGTTTTTAGTTGAGGTGTAAAAATAATATTGCTAGGTAAAATGTAACAAGAAGCACAGTCGGATTTACGGGGAGAGGGCTTTCGGGCTGATGCCCCCCCCACCAAATGGTAGAATTTAACCATATCTTATAAAAAAATTATCTCTAAAAGTATTATTTTTCGTGTTATTACATTTAATAGGACTTCAAGAATCACTTAAACACCATTTCTTATTGGTAGTTAGTTTAATTCTTTTTCCTCCAAAGTAATAATCATTATATACATAATAAAAAAAGCTTTCGGGCTGAAGTACCCCAAAATTAAATTCTGGATCCGCTAGTGGAGGGGGTAAATATAATTATTTTATTTTTCTTAGGGATAGGAGAGGGATGGAAGCATTTAACATTCTAAAAAAAGTAGAATTGTGTCGCCCCTCCACTGGTCAGTAAGTTTTATTCACTTTCCTACATTATTTTATGAATTCATGAGTATGAAATATTTTTTTTCATTTGATAACACTGAGTGTAATAATTTTTCAACTATGTAATTTCAGCATTTATTAATATGGAACACTTCGTCATGAAATTTATTTATAAGTTGGCCACTTACTGATTTCACAAGTGAGACCGCTCCAACCGTCCGGGCAAGAGCAGTGGAACTGGGCACCGCTTTGTACGCACCGCCCACCATTAGCGCACGGCCCGGTAACGCATGGGTTCTCGATGACCTCGCAGTTGAGACCGGAGAATCCTTCCGGACAACTGCAGAGGTACTGATCTGGGTGGGTGTTCTCACAGGTTCCTCCGTTCTGGCAAGGCTCGTGGGTGCCGCAGTAGTTGAGATCTGCAACATGATAAAAGCACATTAGTATCATACACCTACACATCAAAAACTATACATGTATATATATTATATTCTGGTATGTTCTGCTTAAAATGTTAACCTAAATATTGTCGAAATTCAAGGGTGAAAATCTTCGACTTTAGGTGAAGTGTTCGCTCGTAACTAACACTGAAAATATTTTTAAATAAGTATTAATGTGTCTTAAAGCATGAATTTTATATTTTTATTTAATGTTGTCTCAAGTTTCATTTCTTTTGTTTTTATTAAGTTTTCTTCTTATTTTATTTTGTAATAATTTTTCTATTGTTTTTGTTATTGTGTATATGGTATGAATGAGTCTCACGCAGCTCTAATACTCAATGCCCTTAAGTGAGGCAAAATGTACTATTTATTAATAATAAAAAAATTCTGAAAATAGAATAGAGAACAATCTATTCCAATACTTGTCCAAAGAAATGACAAGACTTTGACCATAGGTGGTTATCGGAACTATCCGAATTCATATTTGACAAATAACAATTTAAAAAATTTAACAGCAAACTGAAAACAAGTTACTTGGCATAACCCAACATTGCCATATGTTATATAAGTAGGCTTACATTTATTCGTTTATTTTTAATATTTTATTTAATTGATCGAATAAAGTAGCAGTTGAGTTTATATGGATCATTGAATTTTTATTTGTATTTTTTTTTTCCTATTTCTAAGACACACAGATTGATAACATTTTTGGTTGGTTGTTATGGAGTTAAGATGTAAAACCTGCAGGTTATCAACACCGTTAATTAAGTTTATATATATATATATATATATATATATATATATATATATATATATATATATTTATTTATTTATAGTTATACCTGGCTGGTTATTCATAAAAAAAAAAGTAATAATAAGTTTTAGCAGTAGATAATCTGTTGCAAGGATATATAACAACCGACTGCGACATCGATGAAACCCGACACTGAATGTATATAGCAGCAAGGACGGTTGTGAAACCATTGGGACTAATAAGAGAAGTAGATCCGCCAAAAGGGAAGAATATTTCTTATGTTAAGAATTTTGATCCACCTTGGAGGAGAAGGCTGAAGTATAAAATTGATGAATTGAGCAGAAAAATTGGAGTTCTCACTATCTCAATAATCCTGTCAGAGCATCGATGAAGTTGAAGGCTGTTATTGATGAGCTCATTGTGAAATACATAGGCACCGTCAATAGGTCTTAACTTGATTCAAAGCTGTCAGCATTCCTGAAATAAAAACTTGCAGTTTATGCTAAAAGGGCTATAAGATATACAAATGCTGAATCCCGAAGAAAGCAAAACTACTAGTTTCAAACAGCGGAGATAAAATTTGATATTATGCGGATGATAATATAACCAAAACACTGAGCGAAAAAAATCCAAAAACCAAGAGCTACGCAACGAATTAAAGCAATTATACCGGTTAGTGGATGTAAAAGTACCACCCATTACAATATCCAGCAATGGCTTGATTTTTGAGGAGACTTTGAAGTCATTGAAGATACTGGGAATGAGCTGAGAACTTCAGGAAATCCAGAAAGCGGTAATCCTGGTAACCGCCAATATTTTTAGAAAACTTATAAATAGTTGATATTAAATACCCAATAAACCGTACCCTTGATCTCGGTCCAGGTCGGCGAATTTATCCGCCAAAAGCCGAGAAGTGAAAAATAAACATAATAAAGAAAAAAAAAAAGAGACACAATATTTTTAATAATTCCTTCTTCGGAGAGAAGGAATCAAGATTTCTTTCTTATTTCTCAAGCAGTCGAAGTACTTGCTGGTATCCCTTTTTCATTCAACTTTCTGATGTAAAAGCCGCAACTCTCAAAGATACGGGCTACTGTCATTCCCCATACCTTCGACAAATGGGTGGGTTTTCTTTAGTGATTAATTGAAGATGCGTAAACCTGGTATGTATTATTCTAAATCTTGTAAGGACGACTTCCTCTCTGCGCTCACTGCAACTAGAATCGCTCCATGGTTTTACCTCACTCTTAATGATCTTCAGTTTATTTGGAGGGATGTTGTACCACACTGTCTGCCAATCTTGGTATATGGCCTCTTTAAGTGGTCTCGCCAGTTCGCAGTTAAGAAGGCTTTACCACCTCCTGGAAGCTTCTTTTGCTGCTCTGTCAGCCATTTCATTCCCAGTTATACCTATATGGCCAGGAGACCATAGAAAATGCACTGCTTTTCCAACGTTGTTGAGCTGTTTTGTCAGGCCTGAAATACAATATATTACTAGGTAGTCTGGATACATATTGTTCATAGCTTTAAGCGCGCTACTCATATATACCGTAGAAAAGTTTTCTATATTTTGAAGGTTCCGTATTCTCTTTGTTGAATTTTGGAGAGTAGAAGATTTAATTTGGGTTATATAAAAGTCCAAGGGGGTATGCCATTTTGAATTATGTTTAAGACGATCGGTTTCAGCTTCGAAAATCAGATTAGAAATATTTCACGATCGCAATACTTTCCCTTATTATATATTACATATATATCCCTTACTATATATTATATATATAAGTGAATGTAAAAAAGAAAAGTTTATCGTTCTCAACGAAGAAATTTTCATATAAATTATTTAAGTGCATTATTGCAATATATTAGTAAATATACTTTACTAAGTAAGTTTTGTAAGTTTCTGTAATGAGCATATAATGTTGTTTTAAACGGCAAAGCGAGGTATTCGAATAATACTATATGAAAAATAAAATATTTATTCGATTTATTTATTTATTTCTCGACCTTAAATTAATATTTATTATATAATAGGAGCACTAAGGTTTAATCAGCTGCATTAATATATCATTATAATCGCGTGGTTTGTAAGACTGCTGAATATTAATTTTTCATCAATTCAATTATCTCATTTCAGACGTATTAATTTTTTTGGTTTTTGAACTAGATGTAAGTTTAATTTTCTCAATTTTTAAAATTGATGCGAGGTCTATAAAATGCAGGCCATATTCTATAAGGATGTTCTTACAATTTTCGGTGGCGAAAAAATTTGTTTGAAAATGATCTGAATAAAGAGGTCCAAAAAGTTAAATTACATTGTTTTGCAATCTAATAACTTTGTTGCAAAACATTTATTAATAAAAATGTATCTTCTTTCTCCTACTTTCATGAAGAAGGATATATTAAATAATAGATCAATTGTCATCAAATGTAATTGATTAATATAATTTACAGATGTAAATCATAAACTCTTTTTAATTTTTTTGAGAACGGTTCTTTGTAAGTTGTCTGCATGTACAATATAAGGAATGGAGTCTCACCACAGCTTCAGTTATTTTACATAAAATATTAGTATTTTTTTTATGACTGTATCTACAGCAAGAATCTTCTGATGTTCTGCAATTGGATTCGACAGTGTAAATCGGATAAGAACATGGTCGGAAAAAAAATTATAAAAGAATCTGAAATACTCACGTTTCATAATATTTAACATAATCTTCTTAATGGTATTATTAAATAAACATTTTTTTTCTCTTAGCTATGCCGTTTCCCAATATCCGATCGAGAAATGCTGCTTGTTTATTGGAATCTCATGGCACAACTATCGGATTTAAAAATGACAGGGGGAGCAAAAGGTATTCGGCTAGGGGCCATTAGCTCGGGAGTTGAGATCCCTTTACCTTTAGACAAAAACCGAAATCGGAAGGTATCGCATAACTGGCCTGGGAGACGGCCTCATTAGCTCCCTACTGCTCCAGACCTTTTTAAAATAAATCTCAGCTAATTGAGCAGGGGGCATTCCTCAGCCCTCCGTTATCTACTCCCTCTACCAACGGCCAACCACCTCTTATCTCATTCGTTTCACCATATCTGCATAATCCGTTTAGATTTGGATTTCATAGAAAGAGAAACGTCACCCATCACATGAATAGTTATTAATTCATAGTTTCTTTATAAGTATATAAATATATAAACACTAACATGTATTTAGTGAATGTACTTAATATGTAAAGAGATATACGACCACATACACATAATTCTTCAAAAAATACACAAAACAATGGGTGGGTTTTATAACCAAGATTGAGCTAAAAATAAATCATAAGATTCCCAATCTAAACCGTTTGAAGCATGGTCGTCGTTCTGTCTTAAACAGTAGCAGATCCAGGATTTGATTTTTTTTTTTGGGGGGGGAGGGGAGGGGAGGAGATTCAGCCCAAAAATGTTTACATATAAATGTAAAATTTTAAATTGTAAAGTATGTATACATATATGACAATAATTATTTGGAAGAAAAAAAAAGAAACGAACTACCTATGTGAAATGATATTTAAGTGATTCTTGAAGCCTTTTAAAACAATAAAAAAACTAAACAAGAACAACAATACTTTAAGAGAGATTTTTTTTTTCATAAGACACGGTTATATTTAGTTGCTGCTTATCCATTATAATTTTTAAAATAAAACATGTGATCGTTTGCTTTTTTTATTTCTTAATGATATGTATCAAAGAAATAATTTCATAAATTTGAACATATGGGTATAATGACGTGAAAACACTTGTTGAGAAACTACCCAATGGTAGTATTCTAAAAATATGTCTATATTAGGAGATCACGGGGCCATCTTTTTTTCAGAAGCCTCGGAGGGTCATCAGGAATTGAAGAGGAAGCAAGGAAACGAGAAGGTTGGGATGATTCTGAAGTTTATTATGGAAGGATAAGTATCTGGATTGGGCCAGATCTGAAACATATGAAACATTAAGGTCATTATGAATGGTTTTATTTGTAACAAAAGAGGGAGGAGCATTGAAGATTTTACGAAGACTTTCGGATTGTAAGGAATTCAAATTCTGTTTTGAATAATAAATATATTTATATTTTTATTATCCTTTTTAATTCAATTATTTTGGAATCCTTGTGGTTATTACGGGTATCTTACAGTATGACATGGCCTCGAACCAAGTGAATGAGTCCTCATGAAACTGAAAATACAACTTATGTAGTACGTCTATCATATCA